TCTANGTTTTGATTATAAGAACAATCCAAATCCATCTAGGATGGAAACCCCAACAAAACAGAAGAAACATCTAAGACTTAAAAAGATAGCTTGACAAGCAAGATAACATTCGCCCACTGGCAGCTGTCGAATTCGAACATGTCAAATTCGAACTTGATCTTCGTTTTATGAATAGGTATACACATAGCGAATTTCATTTGATTCCATCAAAAAATCTAGTTTTTAGAGCGTTACAAACAAATGTTGACGGCCGGACGGACCGACGAACCTTCGTTTCATGAATATGTATGCACATACCAATTTCATTTGATTCCTTCAAACACTCTAGTTTTAAGAAGTAAACTAAACTTTCTCAAACCTTTCGATTTAGGTCCAATAACTACTTCAATCTGTGGTAAATTTGATTGACATTGAGTCGGTTTTGATTGAAATTTGTTTGGTTTTCTGTAATTGAAATGAAATGAATGGAGTTTTACGTCCTAGGGTGCAGTGAGGAATATTTTGTCAGGACAGCGGCACTAGCCTGCTCTTTTTCGATATTTGGTTTTCTGTGCCAGATGTCTATTTTTCAATATAACCTTGAAAACTCCTCAAGTAAAGGCTATAATCAAACTAATTTCTAGAGACATGCAGGCTATCATGTACTCAAAAATGAGTTCTAACTCATGACATGGTGTTATATGATTTAAAGTGATAGTAAATTGATCAACTTGGTTGAGAATCCCACATTCTAAAAAATTATGTGCAATAAATCAGAACTATTCTGTGAGATATCATTCTCTTTTCTCAACACCTATTTTAACTGTGTCGATTTCAAATAGGTCAACAATTTCAGATGCTAAAAAAAGGCTTTTCAAGTATATGTTTTTTAATTAAAAAAAGTGATGACATGCTTTAAAATGGTCAACTTGGTCAACCTTGAACTTGGCTGAGAATTCAAATGCAATCAATCAGAACTCATTTTTATGAAAATTCATTTATCATTTATCTCAATTCAACTAAAAGCACCTATAGTGCCAATCAAATGAAAACTTTTTTTTAAACTCGATGATAAAAAAGGCTCTATTTTACATGTTTGTTTTTATATTTAATACAAAAATAACATTATAATTTCATCGTTTTCTTTGCTTTTGTCCCTTCACTGCACCTTTCTTAGCTCCTTTTACAAATCCTTTAAACTGTCCCTTTAACTTGGCTTGCTTCCTGAAAGTCAAAGAAAATCCATACATGATCAATCAAATATAAGCTACATTTTTATAAAGTAACCACCTGAATTATACTATTCAAAGTTTCTATATTAGGATAGAGAAAACACAGAAACAGCTATAGAAATGATCATGTGTCTTATTGTAGCATAATATTGATTAGCAGTATTTTCTACTATTGATTAACCAGACTGAATCACATCTGAAACTCAATAAACCAAAAATAAAATCTATAAATCTATCAAAAACTTATCACAAAAAAAATAATGATTGATTCATCCAAGGCATTGTGTTTCAGAAACAAAAATCAAAAATTACCTTTTATTTAATCTTTTGTAATCGAGTGGGACGTAAGCATAAGGATCTGGTTTGCCTTTCTTCTTGACATCACCACCTGCTTTCTATTGAATATATAAAAATACACATATTAATATTATTCATTCCTCTTTCAATATGATTCACACAAGTGTAAAGTAAGATTTTGAAATTCCAAAGTAATGAAAGTAAAAAAATAAATTCGGAAAGTCAGAATAAATAAAGTGTATTATTGGTTAGAGCTAGATGTAAACTGGAGAAAGGAATTTTATACTTGAATCACTAGTCCGTGTTTGGTAATTGATTATGAATCAAAATTAAATCCTAATTCTAAGTTAGTCAAAATGAAATTGGATGTAAAAAAAGATTATGTCATAGATTTGTTATGAGGTTAATATAGAGGGACCATACTACCATAGTACATTAGGCGTAAATACCCACATAGAGTATTCCTTAAGAGTAGTTCTAAGGTTAGTCACTATCAACTGTTAAATATATAACTAACAAAAACCCAAAACGTATAGTTAACAAACCTTTGCTTTATATTCTACACCAAATCCTGATTTATCTTTGCCAGTACTTTCTAGTGATCTATGAATACCTTTACCACCAGCTGTAATGTATAAAAATAGTATTATAGGACAGTTCGTACCCAACTGAAACAGTAATTATTCCATGCTATATTTGTAATACTAATAACAACAAAACCCCTTTAAAACTTTGATAACTAGTCAAATCATGACCCAAAATTACTTTTAATGTAATCAACATATTACTGATAAATAATTGGTGAATAAGTCTGTCGTTGGTTTAGAGAGGTTAATTAACTACATGTCAGCTTTTTGGGACCCAATTTTGATGTTAGAGAGAGTGTCAGTTTATTGAGGTTTGGTACAGGATGTTTTTAATATTATACAGGTTTAGGTTTATGTAGGATGTCAGTTTAATGAGGATGTGGTTTAAAAGGGTTTCACAACTATCACATAACAGTTGACTCTAACTTTCATTTCCCATTCTGGTCAATGTTTACATAAAATGACATGACAGAACTAAAAATAAGACTTGACGGGGTGATAATCAGAATCACTGCACTAATTACATGATACCATAATCAAATTTATTTTCTACATATTCATAGCAAAATAACTACCTTTATATTTTTTATTATCTATAACATCATCATTATCATCAGAATCATCTATATCTTCAAACGTTCTCTTACGACTTTTCTACAATGAATAAAATATAAAAACCAATCATCCACAAACTTAAAAAAATCTTAATTTATAACACTAATGATCAGACATAACCTCTTAACATTAGTTCAATTTTAAAGTTATTGTAAGCACTTGAGAAGATATTTACAGAACTTCACCTTTTTTCGTCCATCAATAGAAGCCATTAGTTCTTCTAGATCGTCTTCCATATCAGATTCTAATTTCTCTCCTAAAAAAAAAAATCAGTCAAATTTTAATAATCTGGCAACTGTTATAATATTCAAAACTGTTTATCTTTATCAACTCTTACATGTAGCCAAAATAACTTCAGATGAGTAAATAGTTACAAAAAGGATTAGAAATATATGCAACTAACTATTCAAAGAAACTGGGATCTTAATAATAAGAAACAATAGAATACCAGGTAAAATAAACTAACCTGTATCATCTTGTTCAGTCGTAATAACTAATCTTCCATCTCCACCACGTTTAAATAATTCTTCACGTTTCTTATTTCTTTCATTATCATTTCTACTGTCAGGTTTAGATGCTAAAAATAGGTTGTAATGAAATCTAATTTTTTATTATACTGTTGGTCTGACCATTCTTACTCAATATGAACACAATTCATGGTTGTAATTATTACAAGGAAAAACAAGCATGTACTTGTCAACATCTCAAACCATAAGCCAAATTTTACAACTCACCAAAATTATGAGGCAAAAAAATAAAAAGACTCCAACAATCAACCAAGATCATTCAAAAGGGTAATAAATGACAAAGCCACAACAAAAAATGCCAAGACAAGTTAAATAATGGATTGAGCCAAAAACATTTTATGAAATTTGAAAACTTACACAATATTTTTTTATTAGCAGATGGATCTAAGAAATCAACAATATCTGTTCCTTCCTCCTGAATAAATGTCTTTTTTCCTTTCTTTTTCTTACAGCTTTCTGTCTTTTTCTCATTGTCATCTTCATCTAATTCTGAATCAGTATCACGTAATAGTTCATCTATCCTGTAAGTTGAAAAGCAAAATATGTAATAGTTGAGTAATAAATGATAGATAAACATTTACAAAATTAAAACACACAAAAGGGTAACTTTTATAAAAGCAATTCATTATCTTGAAGAATATCTAACATTAAGTTGATGCTACTTTTTTCCCTGTGAATGATTTAGTTCCTATATTTACCAGATCCAAAACAATGTAACATAAAATCAAACTATTATACCATAAATAATAAATTATTTTCTCCTTTACCATCTGAGACAATACCAAAAATATTCTATTATTGTCTTTAAGCCTACAATATTCAGCTGCTTTTTCAAATTTGTCTGTATTTGATCTGTGATATGCAATTATTATTTTTGATTAGTTGTTAGCACTTATGGATCAATGACGTGCCTTTTTTTTAAACTTACGTTTCTGGTTTGTTTTTTGTGACTTCTTCATCATCAGAATCATCATCATCATCTGAATCAGCAATTTGATTTCGTTTTTCTCGCTCCAATCTTTTCCGTATATTAGCTAAAACCTTATGAACATCATCTGGTGTCAATTTAAAGATTACTTCATATCTGTAAAAGATTTGAAAGTTTCAATGGGACTTAACAATGAAAAAACAAATTGTTAGCCAAAAGAAATATTTATATTTCATGCATTAATTTTTGACCATATTTAAAGTCAATTTTCTGTTTTCAATGACGTAATCACATGTAAGTATGATGTAAGTGAATTTATCAATGTTTATGATGTTCGCTTTTTCAACACAACAGTTTTGCATGACATTACATTATTATTATCTTAAAAGTAAGCTTAACAAGTGACAGAATACTAGGTAATGTAGTCTGTGAGTATCTTTATAACCAGTTCAAGGTTGTCCTAAAGAAAAGTTCTTCTTCCCTTGTCCTTATTATTAACTCACCCAAATCTCTTGATTAATTTGGTATAAATTTGTTTATTCTTCAAATGAAAATGATGTTTACAATCTTCTTTCATTGAGACAAGACCATTCACCTAAAATACAATTGTATACTTCAATACTTGATATCATTTTGATGAAAGGCAATCATGAGCTGGACATTGAAACTATGTTATTAGTTGGTACTTAATAATAAAAAGGACAGAAAAAATTTCCTTCAAAGTTAAAGAACAAAACTTAGTGCACAGTAAACAGCACTGGCACAAATTCAAATACAAATCAATCCTTCAGTGGAATATTTATTTTCATGACACTATGCCATGCTCATGGATCAATAATGAAAACAAATTGACAATGATTGTATCTCTAGCTTCAAACTTTTCTTTTTGTAAATAATATTTTACTCATTTGAAAATGAAAAGAATAAAGGAACAGACTTTTACAATTGCATTCTGTTTCTTACTTTTAATATTTAAGTAGTTTAGGCTTTGTATAAATTTCAATACGCAAACTTACCAACGTTTTTAACTGGCCAGCTAATGTGGTATCTTTGTATGCTGATAACATCACTTTAATAAAAGCTAATGAAGACTGGACGATCTCTCTTGATTTAGATGTCATTAATAAACACACATTTTCTACTAGGTCATCCAGACACTCAGATCCAACTTTATCTGAAACACAAAATATCCAAAACATAAATAGTCTTACTAACCAGATCTATTTCATCCCTTCTCCAAAATCTAATAACCTAGTAATAGTTCCTTAAAGCATTCTTTCTATGCTTTCTGAGTCATCATCATTAAAATGAATTGTATTTAGACTTACCTTTATATTGATAAAAGATTCTGGTTAAAGCAAACAATGAACCACTGACCATTTCAGGTGTACCAGCCAGACCAGCTAATATCAACTTTATATATTCATATATTACTTCTGAAAAAAACACATTTTTCAACATAAATATATAGGATCAGATAAATAAAATATTTCAAAGGGACAGATGCACCTTTTTTTTGATAAAACATACTTTAGTCTCAAAAACGGGATTTGTTTAGCTAAGCTAATCAGTAATAGTGTTCACAGCTCATCGTCGAAATTTGAGACTTCAAATCCATGTGTGTTCACAATAATCTCAGTCATCACTTTTTGAGAACTATAGAAATGGGAAAATAATTGCCTAGATTGAGATATTTTTGAAGGAATAGTGCAATTTTCGTACATTTCTAGTACTTCTGAAGACTATTTAGATATATTCAAGAATCAAATTAAACCCCCTGAAATGGCGCATTTGTCCCTTAAATATAAATTCAGCAAATAATCCTTACTCTTAAATTAAATTTGCTCAAGACAACTTGATTATTTTTCGAATATTTACTTGTAAAAATATTTTGTAAATAACTATATTTCAATCCAACATCACAGTCATCTTATTAAGGATTGACATCAAATTCAATTAATCCATTTACCTGATTCTGTTTTTTCCTTTCTCCATCTGATCATGGCATTACCTATTGATATTAATAATGTGTAGGCTGCTGTTCTAGCACGCCCCCCTATTTCTTTAGTACATAATATAGCCTACAATAAACAGATGAATTTCAACACTAGCCATTTTTGTAAGCCACATATTGTAGTTTATAGTTAGGATTGAAACCCAAAAAATGAAAATCCACAAAAACAGTTTAATTTTTAATGCGATTAAGAAATTATGTATATCCCATAGATCAAAATAGGTTTATATGTTTCAGATATATACAAACAGGCAATTACAGTCAAATAAACAACCCTGATTTCCATAATGTATAAATTGACAAATGGCTACTCGCAAAGACAATTGAATCTATAAAATTTTGATCAAAAGATTTCAACATAATCGAAACAATTAAAGGGATGTTAAAGAGGTTTTCTAAATTATTTATGCATATCAGGGACACTGATAGCATCAATTTGCACCATTCCTATTTTTCATCAGACGTCTGTGATTCCTGCAATTCCACTACAACTAAGTAATTATGACGTCACCCCATGAAATTTGCTTGTATCACATAAGACTTTTGCGGAGGTGAAGACATAAAAAACTGAGTTGTAGTAGAATTTCTAGAATCACAGATGTCTATAATACCTTTAAATTAATCTAAAAAGAAAGGTGAGCTATACCTCTGGTAACAGTGTCATGATAAAATTCATCTGTTTTTTCTCCAAATTCTGTACAATATGTGTTAAACATCTTAATCTTGGCTGAAAGATACACAATTATTATGAAAATAACTTCCCTCTGTAAACAAACATAAAACAGTAACTATAAATGTTGAAATAATGAGTTTTATCAAGAATCAATCCAAGGTAATATTAACAGACACACATCAGTTACTTACAGTTTTAGATGAAGGACTAGATTTGGATAAAGCTCCAGTTAATATTTTCTGTATTTTACTCAAGTTTTCTTGTACAAATATTTTACTTGTATCTGATTTCATTGAACAAATTTCTTCTAGGATTCTGTAAGATTTCTTCTGTAACTGATGATCGGTTGACTGAAATTTATTTTTAGATTCTAATCAGTTAATCATGATGAAATACATTTATTGTATGATAATTCACATGGATAGGATATATCAGAAATATCTTAGAAATCTGCATTAAAATAGACACATAAATAATCAATTTGCGTAAGAGATAAATGATATGGCACATGGTATCAACATTAATTTTTTAATTCATATATAGGCATACAGTCAATTGTAAAAGTTTGCTTTAACAATTACTTTAACCAACCAATAAATCAAAACCAACACCACCATCTCAAATAAAACTTACCAGTCTACATCTATATATGTAAATTTAAAAAACATGTACAGGATCTCTCAAAAAATCAAATACCAACTTTACCTTTAAATTAGGTTTAGCCATATCAAAAATCAACTGTAACCTATCTTGTTGAACATAGGGTAATATGGCTGCCACTAAATCAGTCAGGGCCAATCTAAAACATAATATATACTATTGTAAATTGTCTTTTTTAAGCAGGCTATTTTTCTTTTTTCTGCAGCTTTTATATGGATTTCCAGAGAAAAAATACTTTTGTATTTGACTGGGATCATAAAATATGTCTTTAAAAATTACAAATTACAAAAACATATCGGTTCAAAAAAGTAAAACTTACTTTCTACTTTGTGTAATGTCTTCATCATTTATTTTACTCATACATGTATCAAAGAATGACTCTGCTAACTAAAACAGATAACAGAGTTCCAACAATATTGTTAATTTATTACTAAAAGGTTGCTCCTTGTGATCATTGTTTTATTCTGGCTTTCATAATTCTTAACAGAATATACTTTGATATCATCCTTTTCTCAGGGAAACCGATTTCTGTAGATTCTAAAAATATTAAATTAACAGTTAAATGAATATGCTACAACTATGAAAATAGAATAGTAGAGAACAAAAGTTATAAATGCCAACCTTTTCATCAGTTATTTGTAAATAACATTTGATAGTAGCTAGAGCTGATAGTCTACAACTCTCTTTCTCTTTCTTAGGATCCGATGTGAATAAATTAAACAATATCGGTAGGAAATTCTTAGCAAACTTGGCTAACTCTGCTTTATTTGTTTCTAAAATGAAAAACAAAACAAGTCATAAATGACCAGATAACAAAAAAACCCAGTTTATAGCGCAAAATGATGTAAATCTCTATTCTTCTGTAATTGAAGATGATTTAATTGTATATAAATCCACAACAATCTATCTATGATAATTTTATTCAAAATACATCCTTAACAAATAATTTGGATCTACCATAGAACTATTGACTTCAACATGAAATCCTCTTCTTTCAGGTATATAAGTTGATATTGAATAACATCGAACAACAAAAAGTAAATATTGCTAACTTACCATTTTCTAGATTTATGTTGATTAATTTTCTTAAAGCTCCCATTACTTCTATTTTTAGATCATCTCGTTCTGATATTGCTGTACCTAATATCTTGGCTACTGATTTAAATGCCTACAATAATTAATTACATTATAATTTACAGATTGTCAGATTGCTATAATTGATGTATCTTACTATGTTCAAAACAAAGGATGGCAAAGTATTTTAGGTTAGGTATGTCGCAGAAGTTTGCAAATAAGTTCTATGGGCCATTGTTTTTATTCACAGGAAATAATAATTATTGGAGTTTAACAGTGTTCACCTTATTTGAATTAAAGAAGATAACAGTAAAAGTGTACAAAAGCTGACTTACTGTGGGTAAATCTGTAGGGTTTTTACAGAAACCTTGTAATAAAGACCAGAATTGTTTCTGTAAGGCATCATAAGCTGTTGCCAGAGCAAAACTCTTCTCTGATCGCAACCGTAAGCCTATAACAGATGAAATAATATTGTAAGTTTAATCCAAATTTTTCTACAAATATCTAGTAGGAAAAGAAAATTTCCCAAAGTAAATGAAGTACAATAGATCAATCCTGATGTTAGAATGCAACTGGGTTATTAATTCAACAGGTGTGAAAAATATCATGAAGGCTTGATGAAATGGTAATAAGTCAAAAAAGAAAGAATAACATATATTTACAGTTTTGTCGACATTTTGCTGCTAATGGTAAGAAATATGATGAGAAGAAAGATAACTCTGTATTCTGTATGTTGTTATTTAAAATAGGTAACATCCAACTTCGTGGAAAGTGGTGATCATCTCTAAAAAAAGACATCATATAATGAGATTAAACTGATAAAGAGACTAATGCATATAAATTTTTCCTGGTGATGAAAGTACAAATCTCCAAAAAAAATTCTAATGTGTATCTAATACAGATTGTAGATTGGGCTCTTATCAAACTTAGGATTATCATTATTGAAAAAAAAATGGCAGCTTATGGAGCTCTATGCCATAAAAACAAAATCCATTTAATATACTAGTTATCACTTCACTGCTCATAGAATGAGAATGACCACTTAATTAAGCAGCAAACTTCAGTATGCCACCACATTACTGTTCCCCCTATGAATTTTAACCATAATTATAACTGATAAAAGATGTATCTATGAAGACAAAATGACTTGTTTAATATGGTTAAATGACAAAGAAGTACTAGTACATATCAATACTTACTCTTCTCCAGTAATATTCAGAGGTACGTTATCCAGTACAATTCTAGGCCCCATACCTCTTATAGCACAGCCTAAAACTTGGTCTATTTCACCTTTATATGAACAGTTGGGTGTTTCTCTCAATTCTATTAGTGTAATTAACATCTGAAATTATATATCTTCATATAAATACAATGTCAACTTTTTACTCCATGATAGCTTGAAGGTTATTGTGAAAATATAATTTGGAGTAGTTGATGTCTCAAGATCATGAAATTTATAGGTATACAACAACAATACATTAAATAATCGTAAAAAATGCCTATAATAAATAAATTAGTATCTATTGAAAAAAAGGGTAAATTTAGTTTAACTGACCTTTTCAAGTAAACTGGGTAATTTTTTACCAACAACCTAAAATTATCAAATTGGTCAATAGATAACATATTACCTTCTAATTCAACCATATCCAATGTTAAAGTGAATATTTCAGATTGAAACATCTCAATCAAATGAAAGAAAATTTTTAAGCAGATATAAAAACCAGTGCAAAGAAATCAAGAAAAGATTTACCATAACTTACCTCATATAAAACACCTAACAGATGAAAGACATTCTTCCAGGCTGATAAAAACTGGTAACTTAGCCCACTTTGACAAACTGTAACTATTTTATGTATTGGTGTAGTGGAACCTTTTGGAGCAGATTCTACTAAAACTTGTTGGTAATCAAGAGTAGGTGCAACACAATCTAACAGTAGTATCTATAATCATAAAATCAAATGAGTTGGCTTTTAGACTTTTTTTTACTCATTTTGAGAATTAAGAAGATATTTTGAGCACAGAGACCGGGATCTAGTTAATTCTCCTATAGCATCAAGTACACTTTAACATGCAGAACATGTAGCACACACTGCTTAGTTTTTTTTTCAGTCCAAACAACTAGAACCTTTTTCCATGTAAGCAACTCAAAACTGCATCATGAATCTGCTTGAAAGAATAAGAACGTTCTCTCAACTTTAGGTTAGAATGCAAACATCCAACATGCTGAACCAATGTGACTTAACATCTTTATTCAGAAATACACGGATATCTAATTTGAGCAATTGAACTTGAATGTATAATAAAACTGACATTTTATAAGTTAAGGCTTATCAAAATTAATTTCTTGAGATAAAATGCTGTTTACCTTTAATGTATTAGCTGCTGAACTGACAACTTCTGGTTTATTTGATAATAAACAAGTCATGCTAATAGAAAATAACTTTGGTAGGTGACTGACTCCTAATTTCTCATCATTTCTGAAAAATTTACACATGGATTAATTCAACATAATATAGCAATTATATTTAATATCAGCAATATTTCTAAATGTTGAAATGTTCACCCTTTCACAGCTCACACAAACATGTTATTTGAAATATATCATAATTATGTCAAGTATCACTAAACCTATAATTGCCATTATTCTGTGCAAGTTCTTAAATGATATATATTTTGTATTTATATGACAATATCATCAACTGGTATCTAGGATTACAACAGCATATCGTTTCTTGTCAAACCAAGTTTAACATTAAAACCAGTATCAAACCAATTACTAATTTTCTTTGCCCAGCCCTATCTTATAACATACAAATTCCTATTAACTTTAGAGAAATATTACTGTCTACATTGTTTACCTTACTAAATTAACATGAGCTTTCTCCATAACAGCTAACCAAGCTCTCATAGGTTGACTATCATGTTCTGATGGCTGATAATCATATAACGCCTACAAATCAATAATAACATTCTATAGTTTGTTCATTTCCATTGTCTCTTGCTACAAGAAAACTAAAACTCAAGTTCTCTACCAAAGCGATATGTAAACAAAATGAAATAAAGCAGGACCTGAAGCCTCTTAGCAATTGAGCTTTCAACATGTCATCAATATTGGAGGATACATGTTGCTCATATTTTCATGTATATTTCTTTATTTTCACACAGAATTCCAGTACTAAGGCTAGTACCTACATTTGCTCACACCAATCACTTTATTAAGTCATACCCATTGATTTGAGATATAAGCTAACAATGTAATACATGATATAATAACAATAACGAAAAATTATCACTTTTAAAATAGTGTTCAATACATCAATTGTAGAGCGATATAGAAATAGAAAATACATTAGATAATTTTAATACTTTAATGAAACTGATCAATAAAACTTACAGTGATGATCTGAGCGTTTAATTCACCAGGTAAATTTGTAGATTTAGGAAAAGATGAAAACATACCATGTAATGCTTGCATACCTCCAGCCTTTACTAGCTAGAAATAAGAATTTGACAGTAGTATTTAGCTACGGAGGCGCAATTTTCCGTACTTTTATAAAATATTTCGTTTAAACGAATTAATTATTTCGTTTAAATAACATTTTTTAGTACCTATTTTAGTACACAACATAAAAAATAATTTATCTACATGTTCAACTAAATTGATTGATCAACAAGTCTCTGCTATAACATTAACCAATCATTGTTCTCAATAAAAGCCACTGTTCAGTAGAAATATTTTATATTTCTTACCTGATTATTTATAGTCATGACTCTCAGTATATTTTCACATGTGGACTTTAAACTATTATGAGAGAATGTACCCATTATTTCTTTTAATAAACCAAGTGTATAGAGAGTATTAACAACATCACTTGAACCTATAGATATATATATAGTATTTTAACATGTTAATTTAATACCACAAGAAATAGCTTTGTATATGTATTGGGGACAGCTCAAACTTCTACATTATTATGATCAAATATCTGACTGGTTCCTTTCATCATTTCATCATACAACTAAAGAGAGATTTTTATCACACTGACAGAGAATTGCATACCATATTTACAATGAGATAATGATGGTTGTGTGTTATTAAGTATAAAAAATAAATTATGATTCTACCTGCACATTGTTCTATTTCTGTATTACAATATTTAGCTGTTAATGATGAAGCTGGGTGGTAGGGTGGATTGTCATCATTTAACATAAATAAACTTCCTTTTAATATTATCTTTACAGCTTGATGGCATGTCTTTCTTATCTATAATAAATACATTGATCTACTTCATATACCAAGATATTTTATACATATTCAGAATTCAAATCTGCATGACAGCAGAAGTGCTTTACATCCAACCAATTGTTACAAATTGAGCCAAGTAGATGAGACAGCATGGGAAAAAACATGTATAATATAATCAAATTTAACTTTTAAATCAATCAGCCATACCACTAATCAATCCCAGCTAATACAACACCTACCCTAGGTTTTTTATGGGTTATGAATGTCAAGATACTGTTGTATATTTGATGTGTTGAACCATAATTCCATACACCTTGATCTTGTACTCTTAACACAGCAGCCAGACATAACAACAACTGTAACACATCATATATTATGTATATACAATTTTTCAAATATATAACAAAAAGCAACTAGTGTTGGCACCATATGTTGATGAATCAATGTTTCAATAGGTTGTGTATGTATACTTGAAGATATCTCTCAATCCATTTTATCCCATTACCCCACGATACGTATCGTATTGTGACCCTTGAATTGCTTTAATATCGTATTGTGGCATGATTGGAGTTAACCGATTTCGGGTAGTATTTCACAGGTAATCGGGTCCGATTTGAGATAACGGTTAACTGTCAATTTTACTAGGAATACCCTAACATCTATACTAAACGTTTGGTGACTGCTTACAAAAGGAATAAAAATCTTAGTAATGTTCTTGTCCATGATAGATTAGATCCCCTTTCATTAACTCCCTGAAACAATTGCTTTGCATTTCTGAATTATTTGTTTATCTTGTAAAAAATCTCTCCAGAAGTAGGTAATTTTCTATCAAATTGATGTATTCCAATGCTGAAATCCACAAAAACTGGGAGGACCATATTTCCCTTATATATGGGGTAATGAATGTTACCGAGTAACCAAAGCCCTTTCATCTAAAAGCAATGACCTTGATCTTGAAGCGCGGTCATTGGCGGTGATTAACCAACAGAATTGAGAGCAGCGATCTTTTGTTTTTATGTTGGATTATCAATAATACAAGCGATAAATTTATGGACGTTTTAGATTTAGATGAATAGATGTCTGATAGTAGAGACTTTTCTGAATGTCTGGACCAATGATTAGTGTTGTAATTTGTAAACACTGAATGTCTTGAAGATTAGCCGGGTAAGAAAAGGCTAATGCTGAAAATTACCCGGTTCATCAAAATCACTAACCGTTTCAACACTAATGGGCGTTACCCAGCACTAAAAGCAACACAAAATTTCTCAAATATATCAACCAATACTATTATTACGAGTGGTGAACAATGTAAAAAAACAGCTGAGAAACGTCTAATTTAGCTATGTTGAATATAGTTATCGGTTATAGGTATAAACTTACAGATTTTGTTAGAGATGTAGAGGCTCCATCAGAATATTTGGCTAAATAATCTAGTAATTGTTTTGATACTTGAGAAAAACGACTCTTTAAAACAGCTGCAGGAACTCTGAAAGGAAATAAACACAAGTACACATTATTTAAAGTTTCAAATTTCAAATACAAACTGATGTCTGAACTATTTCATTTCAAAGAGAGATCCAGAAATCAATTGGCCTGCTTATCTAATTCTAATCACAATATAAAACTTGTAAAACTAGTAAATACTAAAATAAATTGAATACACTTACTTCTTAATAGCTAAATTTAATAAATAAGCAATGGCAGCTAAGGATTCTCTTGATTCAGCACTTTCTAAAGCTGTCATCTAAAGATAAGACATGCAAATGATAGAAAGGTTTAAGCAACTCAACCCTGATAAATTTTTATTGCAATTAGCAAGACATATTACTTCTAAACAAAACTTCAGATTCCCAAACGATTAGGGAAAATCATACGACAGGTTAAATTATACACAAAACAGATAGCAAATTTGCATTCTAAACTTATCAAGTTGTCATTACTCCAAATATCATCAATTATACCCAAAAGTCACTGGATAAATTTGACATTGATAAATCTTACCAAAGCAGCAAAATATTCTGTTTCTGATTCTGTACCACCTTGTTGTTTGATGACTTCTGTAACAGCTGCTAATACTGCTAATATCTACATAAATAAAAATATAATGTTCAAATAAAATCAAAAATGTTTTCTTCTTGTACATGTTTATATATTTCAAGAACTTCCTCAAAATGGTTTTAAGGAATTAAAAGGTTTAACTTGAGAAACAATATTTAGAAAAATTTGAGTAAAAGATTTGGTAAAATGTAACCTACTTCTTTATGCATTGCCGAGTTAGATGACCAATACCTATGAACTCTACTAAAAGTTGCATTTGTACAATCTGTCCAATTGGTGGCCCATGTACTAAATGTTTTAGCTGTAACACTCCTGGCATCTTCAGTAGAAACAATAGACTGCGTTTCTGGATCACCATCATCAGCATTGTGTTTCGCTAGAGCTGCAACAGTCAAACTGCTTGGACCTGAAATATTGGAGATTTCAAGTTTCAGTTTAATCTTTTCATCAGATTGTAGCTTTACTGTATAAACAAAGTGAGATATTTTAAAATTCTTCAATTAAATGCTCCACAGATGAAAAATCAATGATGTAAGCTACCGATGCTACAGGAATACCATCGTGCTGCTAAAAATAAACACACATCCACATTTCAATAATTCTAGTTTCACTTTTGGAGACTCACTATTGAACATGAAAACCAAGAAAAAAAATGGCAGTCAAGAAGCTAAAAAGCTTATTAATAGACCGATATTCATTACGAAATACTAGTCAACTTGTCGACAAAATTTTATCAGAGAACCCGTTGACAGATTTCAACTCCTCAACACAATTTTCTAAGAGAACTCATCGACACAATTTATTAAAATGAATGCATTATCTTGGAGAGTCCCTATAAAATGGAGACAATGTTGATGATGTTTTGAATATTTTATCTATAACAACATTATTAACAATCAATTTACAATGACATCAACATGATAATGCCTCTTGATTAGTGCAGACTTCCTTCTCACTTTTTAGAGTTGGACATTTTCAGACATAAATGAATGAATGTCGAACAACCCTTGTAAGCCTTTTAACAATATGCGCTTTCGGAAGACATAACACATTTTATTAATCGATTGCATCTGATCTCTCCGTTAATTGAATGATCATTGTTAATTTCTTGAATGTTTGTTGTTCATCGTTAATTAATTGATTGGTTTTCACCACTTTTATATTTACCACCAATCTCAATTAAGAATACCGCTTGTCTCAATTAAAACTAATCTTGTCATCAATTGGATGACCACTTACTTTTGAAAACATGTATTGTGATAGGACTCGTATTTGTCGTATGGTCTGTATTTATTGAGGCCATAGAAAATAAAAACAAAACTGAATAAATATAAGATTTTTATTTTAATAAATTGTGTCAACGAGTCATCTTGTGATTTGTGCACGAGTTGACTGAAAGCTGTTGACGAGTTGACTACACCCTACCAAATTGTATTGATGTGGCGAATATCCACTCCTCACCTACAATACAATACAGTGGTGTAACCTATTTTCGTGGATATAAGGATTCAACAACGAATTTCGTCAAAGTTAAAAAAACGAAAAAAAATTTGTATGTCCTAGATGTTTCCTCAGATATTCTAAAAAATAATTAAAATTGGTTTATTTCGATTTTCTTTATGAATCCTTCACTTTGACCCATATTTCATGAGCAACCAACTCGGCAATGGCGGCAGAATGCGTCACCTATTTTCGTGTACAATGTTTGATCTATAAATAAGTTTAGAAAAACACGTTGTATGGATACCGGGTGGTATAATTAACTTCTCTTAGTATTTATCTTTAATATCAATTCATTATAACTAGTTACAATTCCTTCAAAGAACCACAATTTAAAAAAAAAAAAGTGACTGACAAAATATGATACGTAGCGTGATTTATTGCTAAAAGTCACTGAAACAACATAAGAATATGGTCCACTTTGTGTTCCATAGAAATTTTCTGCTGACACGGAATCCGCTAGTTGATCACTTCATTCGTTGAAATATATTCTAGCAGACGACACTTGGAGTTCAGATTACCGTTTGGGATTATAAGGAAATTTGGCTGATAAAAAATGGTGACGTTTGGTAATAACTGAAATCCGCCATTTTGTATTTGTCAAAGTATACATTAATACATTTTACCTTGCTTGAAACTACTGGATTCATTCTACTAGCTGATATTGTAGAGAAAACCCATGTTTATTAAAACAAACTAATGCGGAGGTCGCGCAAGGTCGCTCATGTAAATTATTAATCCTTTCAGGAAATCCACGAATAATAGGTTTCCACGAAATTAGGTTACTTGACTGTACTAATTTTGACTGATTTCAGTGCTTAAGTTTTGCACATTTTGACCATGGCATAAATCTTGTCTCCTAGTTTGCACATTGTTCCTCCTAGCCTAGATGAAATATCGATTCAAATTAAACTACTATTCAGTGGTATGAATCAGAAGTATATACAAATGAACTATTTTGCATTATTTACATACCTGTATTTTTATGAAATATTCTATTTTTAGCCGCCTCTCTAAACTTTTTCGTTACAGGATTACTGCTCGAGCTCTGACCTTTCCTCCATTTCCCACTTTTATTGGGTTTATCTTTGTTATTAAATCTCCTACCCCTCATTGAATTTTGTCTCATTATCGGTGTTAATTAATCAATCGAAATATTGTCAACAAACGCACATGTTTTTGTAAGCCATTTTGAATCATGAATTATCTCCCTTTCCGAAATTCGTACCCAATAATTACCACAACCGTACCCAATAATCCGAAAAAATTGTCCTACACGAAAGATATTAAAAACATAATAATTTGTTTGATTTAATTGATTAGGACTTTCATGGGAGGTTTTCTTACCTGATATCTATTTAAGGAATGAATGTGGATCTTGTTATCGTTATGGGGAAATAAACGCTGGTTTATCATGTGACAAGACAAATGACATAGAAGGTTTTCTTATCTGATATCTATAGGCCTATAACGTACCCTGTACATGTTAATGTGAATAGCAGCTTGTAGCACTTGGGATCTTGGCTTGCTCTGGTGCGTAACTGCACAGTGACAAAAAATTATGAATTTTTCCCCCAAAGATTTTTCCAGTCAATGACAATATTGACATCTGCCTTTTTGTTATTGATAGCTAAGGTGCTATAAATAAAGGCCCCCATACACCATCAATTTGTTGTCAATTAATTGATTTCGATTACCAAAGTTTATAAGTAGGCCTGAATAAGTGAAAGCCATGGAATACAAAATATTTCCACTCATCATTGTGGTGTCTGTGTTATGCCAACTTGTTGATTTTTAGTCAGGACAAGGTCATGCACATTATTTAAGGTGACCAAGATTTTCTCAGATACACTGGAGGGTAAATAGGGGTGCGCACTGTACAATCTTGTGCAAAATATTTGCAAATATACAGTACATATATTCTGATTCTGATTACAAAGAAGGTATATAATAAGATAAATGCATCATAAATATTTTTTTATTCACATGAACAGCACAAACTAGGGTAAAAATGGTGGTCTTTCCTTATAAGAAGTATTTAAATTGGTCCGTTTGTGATACGGTCGATAAGGATCATCAACATAATATCTGGGTTTTGTCCAAAATTTAGTCACCATATGACTTAACTTTTTACTTTGATTTTTCGTACAAAACACATGTTGTTTCATTCGATGAAGTTTTCCTTGTTTTTGTTTCCACAACTTATGTCTTCCAGATCTTGTTCGAATCCAGTCTCCCCAGTCCAAGTGCATAAACCTTTTAACAACTGATTTAACTGTTTTAGGTTTTCCCTTTCGCTTGCTGAACCTTACTTTAGTTCGTTTAGTTACAACATCTACTGTTCCAATATTTCTGCAATGAATATTATAAATGATAAATATATTTTGAACTACATGTATTTATCAAGACCATTATTAGATATCTGAAAAGAATATTCTTTGGAAACCTTGATGAAATGGGTGGGATGTACTACATTAGAAATCAATGGTAGTACAGTGAAAGTGTCTTTCCATCATATAAAAAGTTCCATGATTACCTTAAAAGTGTTTTTTCTGAATGATCATTAAACCGTGTGTTAAATGTGGAAGTATATAAAGATCTAGTAATTAATGAATTAATTGTCGAGTGTTGCAGTAAAGCAGGTCGATTATAAGGTGATTCACAAGACTTGCTGATATTCAAGCTGTTTAATCTTTTTTCTAATTCATTAATAGGCTTTGAGTGAATTTGTCTTGAAAGTAGGAGCTGCTTTTGTATAAACTGTCTTCCACCTAAAATCAAATAACATAAAATATACAATATCATTGAAAATACAGATATAGATTTACCAAGAGAATAAAATTTTGATATTGGTCTCTATTTCTATTTCTATCTCACCTGCATGCACAGGCACAAACCTCTGTACTTAAAGGGACAATTGAGGCATTTTATTTGACCAATTTTAGCCGGCAGGGATTTTCTTGCTAAGCCCATCAATAATAGTGTTCACAGCTCATCGTCCAGAATAAGTCGTGTCTGATTTGACAACTCGTCATTTTAAAGTACTCAATGATATATAGAAAAGACATATTATATGGAAATAGAGAGTAAAATTTTTAAGGAATTATGCGATTTTCTAACATTTCTGGTACTTTTGAAGATCATATACATATATTCAAGACTAAAATCAACCCCAACAAAATGCTGCACCCGTCCCTTTCATAACCGTATGAATTAGAATACAATAATCTACTGTCTTCACAAATTTGATGGATTATATTCATAAGAATTGAACTATCAGCTTCAAAATTTGAGTTGATAATATTAACACATGCACACAGTCGCACACGTTATCATTTTGATATTTTATTTACAGAGGACTCTTTCCAGTCAAAATTTGCTTTTAACCAATAATGTAAACTTACAAATATATAAATTTATCAAAGCAAAGTATTTCTAAGAATATCAGTATAGGCCTGCTGTTAAGAAGCTTATTGTTCAAATTTACTTTAATGAAATGGACATGCATGTAGGCGAAGACAATAGTGTTGGGTATCGTCAAACATGTCACAATGTGATACTTATCCCAATACAAGACTCACGATACCATACATAACGCGATATGGGGTAATGGGATAAAAATTAACATTTTATCTTCAATATCTCTATATCTATTAATTCATAACATTATAACTGTGATATTTGGTAATACAGTTGATAGAAGTGGTTAGCATCCACTGTCTTAAAAAAAGTTTCTAACAATTTCAGTGAAAAAAAATGGTGGTGTAACCTATTTTCGTGCATATAAGAATTCAACACCGAATTACGTCAAAGTTAAAAGAACAGAATTTTTTTTTATGTCTTAGATGTTTCTTCAGATATGCTACAAAAGAATTAAAATTGGTTTGTTTTGATTTTCTTTATGACTCCCTCACTTTGGCCCATATTTCATGAGTAACCAATTAGACAACAGCAGCAAAATGTGTCACCTATTTACGTGTTTGATCTATAAATAAGTCGAGAAAAACATGTTGTATGGATACCCAGTGGTATAATTAACTTCTCTTATCTTTAATATCAATTCATTATAACTAGTGACAATGACTGACAAAATAAAATAGTGACTGACAAAATAAGATAAGTACTAACGTAGCTTGATTTATTACTAAAAGTCATTGAAACAACATAAGAATATGGCCCACATTGTGTTCCATAGAATGTTTCTGATGACATGGAATCCGCTAGTTGATCATGTGACTTCATTCGTTGGACTACATTCTAGCAGAAGACGCTTGGAATTCCGATTACAGCATGGGATTGTAAGGAAATTCGGTGTATAAGGAAATTCGGCGGATAAAAAATTGTGACGTTTGGTAGTAACTGAAATCCGCCATTTTGTATTTGTCAAAGTATACATTAATACATTTGACCTTACTTGAAACTACTGGATTCATTCTACTAGCTGATATTGTAGAGATAACCCATGTTTATCAAAACAAGCTAATGCAGAGGTTGAGCCATGTAAATTATTACTCATTTCCGGAGATTCACGAAAAAAAAATAACATAGAACGAAATTAGGTTACTTTACTGTATTATAAAACAAATTATTAAATTATTAATTATCGCCAGGTATCGATACACAACGTCCTCATACGACACGTGTAGTGAATCGTGATACATTGATTCACCAGCACTAGAAGACAGTAGACATTTCGGATTAATCATCCATTCACATAGAGGTAATAATACCGAACTCAATGTTCATTCATTGAATTGACATTGACACTGACTGAGATTTTCCACTGCCTGCTCTTGCTCGATGAAAATTATGCCTATTGAAACGTCAAATCTTGAAAGAGTGAAAAATTGGATGGCTAAAAAGCACACATAGGAACGTGCAACACGCGAAAACTTAAAAAAAAAGAATATGTAATTACAATTTCTAAAGAACTTGCATCCCATGGAGGCCGCCATATTGAAATTGCCCTTAAAAACTACCCATGATTCATTTTAAAACACCTTTCCATCACTTCCGGTAGTGTGTGAAGGACGATGCAACTTTGGGTTTGCGTTGAATGATATTACCGGCAAATTTACATTTAACATGTTTAAAGCATCTTCTTCAAGGGTTTCGATTGGATTTCGGGTACGAGGTTCTCTTATGAATAATAAGTCATAATTGCTCTAGACAGTCAAAAAAATGTCGCAGAATTGCATCTGTATCTCTTTTCTATAGAACTTAGAAGTTAAAAGTATAGCCCGAAATTGTCGGTGTATATTCCCATATTCCAATAAGGAGTAGTTTGCATGCATTGAAATATGAACTCATTAGTCATTAAACTGAGCATTATTTGTAATAATGCGATATTCATTTCAAATTTTAATGTTCAAGGAAAAAGTAAGATACAATCATTGAAATTATCATATGATATTTTAGGTTGTGGAAAATGGAAAGATTTACTTCCGAAGGTACTCTTCTTCATCTGAAGCAGGGGCTGGGAAGTCAACATCATCAGCTAAACCTTCATCTACCCCACCAACTCCACCTCCTTTGAACCCACCACCTCCTCCTCCTAAAAAAGGACAGTAAGTATCTAGTACCGTATAATGTCAAGCTGTAAAAATCTTCATGTTTCTGTGATCAATTACTTCTTCATTTGACAGACACTTAGTGACTTGAATGACTGTGGATTGATTGGGAAATGTTTGCAAAGAACACTTTCAGTTGCACCATACACACAGTTTTAAGAAGCTGACATTTATCTATCATGTCATGGATATGGTGCTGAATATCTGTGTACCGGTACAAAATTTTTCTCATGTTTACCTAAATAATTCTAACAAAAATCTGGAAACATGTATGCTACTTCAAGAATAATCCAGTAACTGCCATTTGAAAAAAATTCATCGGTAATTGTGTTTGACTTGCATACTTTTATTTATTCTACATACTTTTATTTATTAGTACTGGTAAAATTATAAGTTTTTTGGGGATAAGTATTGTTGGTGGTACTGTGGGCTATGCCTGGTATGATAAAGAATTTAGTCAGATGTTACAAGATAATACAGGTTTACCTATAGAAGATTATATGAAATCATTCAGAGAGATGACTATCAAAGAACCACCAAAGTAAGCCTTATAATCATTTTTTCTACATAATGGTCAATAATTAACCCCTGGCCACAAATGAACCCAAAATAAAACTATGAAATTGCATTCATACTGATTGAAAAATGAGATCATTTAAGTAGTGAAATATTACTCTGCCTTGAAATGTTGATTAAATTGTAATTTTGATATCCCTATTCCTAACTAGAACTGAGATTCCGTCAAAGTACCGTCCTATAACACCAGTGGCACCTGACACAAAGCCAGTTACAGAGGAGAAGAAAAAAGAGGTAAAGGTTCTTGCGTAAACAGAAATTTTTCAGTTAAATGGAACGTCTGGCGTGGATTTTTGAAAATGATCTTGACATAAAAACTTGAACAGAGCTTCATGTCTTTCATAATTTAGAATTTTATACTGTTCAAATAAAAAGGTCAGTTAGCAATGTAAATAACTTTATTGTACCTTGAAGTTTGTAATGTTGACAACAAAACGGAAGGCAATTATATACAGAAAGTGAGAGAATGCACCGATTAACATAGTGTATTGTGAATTATCTATAAAAAAAAACAGAAATTTTGAAATAGTCATTGAACCTATTGAAATCTATTACATTTGTTGACAGTTCTTCAGAACTATAAATTCGTATTTTATTGGCCCTTTGGGAGATTTTTTTTATGAAGCTGGTACACACTTCCCTTTTTATTATTTAATGATCTTGTGATTTTAGGCCATTCCACATGTTACTATTCCCACTGCTAGAGATGAAGAAGCTAGGAGGAAAGGTATGTAGGTTTACAATATGAAATGTCTCAACAAATGATACATGAATATTGTCGATTTTTGAAGTTTTTCAATATTTTTTAAGACAATTGGAATATCAGCCTCAAATGGTACTGTTAGTCTTAGAATGTATTTGCATTGATAAATATGAAGTTTTTGTAAGTTCACATTGAAAAAGAAACATATCTCTCCTAGAAAATTCAACTTAATTCCTCTTCAAACACAAATTTTGAAGACATAATGTGTTCTTATGTTATATTTTTATCAATGCAAAGTCCTATTAAGACTAAAAGTAGTATTTTGTGGTTGATTTTCCAATTTTCATAAAAATAATGGACAAAATTTCACAAAACTTTTTTACTATGCTCAGACTTGTCATAGTGTGGACAAATGTTAGAAGCAGTGTAGACACTGCTTAATTTCCAAGGTAACTTTTATATATGGCCTGATTACAGGCAGCAATTGGTATTGACTCCATTTCAATAGTTTACTTTTATTATAGAAAAGGCTGAAAAGGAAAAGAAAGAGAAAGAAAAAGAATTGAAAGAGAAGGAGAAAGAAAAGAAAGAAAAAGCAAAGATGGAAAAACAGAGAGAAAAGGAAAAAGCAGAACAGAAAATGAAAAAAAAGACAGAGGATGATAGCGCTTCAAATGCAGGTAAATTAATCAAAAAGCTTGATGGAAGGGTTAAATAATAGGTTTTAGTATTAAGTGGTAGAATGATAATGAAACAGATTCCATTAACTAAGGGACTAGAAATGTAATTAGTAAAATTTTCAACCATTAAAAGCTCATAAAATCATTATCACATGCAATTCATTTCTTTTATTATGTATCAGACCAATACCTTTAATTGGGTTGATTTAACAATCATATTTCAGATGAAAGAGCTTCATTTTTCAAATACAATTTACAATATGTAAATAACATTCTATCATTGCTATGTGACTAATTTCAGCTCTAGAAGTGATGGTGGAAAATCTAGTGGACACCAATAGTAAATTAACTAAAGCAGTAATAGAAGCACAAAATAAAGTCATAGATTTAACTAAAAAACATACCGAGGCTTTAAAAAAAGCCATGAATGATACCTCTCAGGTAATCTTTAATCAAAATGTAGTTATTGAATGAATATGAACTCTACTATAACCTTTGGGAATTTAGCTTCGGGTGTCATTAATGAATTTTATTTGTACTGAAACTTGGAATTTATGATTGAGACATTTACAACTAGTTCCTCTCAATTTTATAATAGAAACGATCAAGTCTCAAATAGACAGAATTACGATATTGACATGGGTGTAAATTCCACTAGAATTTTTGAGCTGCAATGGTGAAATATCTAGTCTAAAAGTATGCCTGTAATTGTGTCCCGCTAAGCTTGCTATATTCTTAGAATAAAGAAGTCAATAAATTTGGTTTGATATTTGGCTCTAGATATTAAATAAAGATAAACAGTGGGAAGAAGTGGCTGATATTTATAGTTTACGTGAGGAGGCTGTGAAAGAGGCTCAGAAACTAAAAGATAGTGCTATGTAAGTACCTGGTATTGTTTTGGAAATGTAGCATGGAACACCATTTCGTTACTTTAAGGCTGGGGCACCATCCTTGTTACTTTGAGACTGGAACACCATTCTTGTTGCTTTGAGACTGGAACACCATTCTCGTTACTTTAAGGCTGGAGCCCCATCCTCGTTACTTTGAGACTGGAACACCATTCTCGTTACTTTGAGACTGGAACACCATTCTTAATACTTTGAGACTGGAACAATATTCTCGTTACTTTGAGACTGGAACACCATTCTTGTTACTTTGAGACTGGAACAATATTCTTTTTACTTAAAGACTGGAACACCATTCTTGTTACTTTGAGACTGGAGCACCATTCTTGTTACTTTGAGACTGGAACACCATTCTCATTACTTAAAGACTGGAACACCATTCTTGTTACTTCTGCATATTTTATTTTTGACAGTGATAATTTGACCAAGTTACAGAAAGCGGTTGAAGAAGGTAAACAAGATCCAGTCACTAAGAAAAATCAAATTTTAAAAACTAGTCAAGAAAAGTGGAATAAATTAACCCATGAAATTGATGATATTACTGCACAGGTAGGTTATTTTATCTACTTTCAATCTTATTTAAAAATGATATTTATCCATTTTTATACTTTTATCAACTTAAATTTATTATAAGACTATAACAAGATTTTGAAGCTGATATCCTACTTTAGATAAAAAAAATAATCATTGAAATTTGAACTAGCAACATATGTGCAAAGGTAGTAGAGAGTATTTTAATATGAGAAAAAGGTTTTGCTTTGAGGATTTTTTATTCAAATATTGTTCATTAAGTTAGTTCATTACAGGTTCTTTATATTTCAAAGGCTAGTTATGTTATTGGCAGTATAACATTCCAGTCCATTGTGTTTATCAATTTATAGGTGGAGAAAGCAGCTTCTGAATCTCGTGTTGTGTCAAAATACAAAGATTTAGTAGAAAAAGGTAGAAAACAATTCCAGAAAGAATTAGAGAGTATAATGCCTGATGTTAAATTAGGTGAAAAAGGTTGGTATTGAAGTTACATATTTGATAAAGATTTCTATCCAACTTTTTGCTGAAGTTTAAGCGATTGAAGACATTCGGGGAAGTCATGGAAATAAGTTGGACGGGACCTTCATTGTCCCATTTGAATGATAAGAGGCTGTCATCCTCTTTGGACTGCATTAGTGTCAATGGAAAACAAAAGTTAAAAATCTGAAGGTATCTATTCTATCTATGCCATGATTGATCCTCAAACCCAGGTTGATTATTGGCTGAAAATAAGATTTCAACCCTATCAAGATTAAATGTGCTGTCATAACATTGTACAATATAGAAATGTTTTGAATGGTTAATAACATGCAAAAGGCATTTGTCACTGATAAATTTTTTTCAGCCTTGAACTTGGGTATATGATATAATACATGAATTGACCTCTTGAGATATACCTTAATTTCTTAAATTAATCTTTTTACAAATATTTGACTTGTATAATATTTATCTATTACAGGAAAGAAATTAACAGAAGATGAGTTAAATTCTATGATTGCCCATGCACATCGTCGCATAGAACAGCTACAGAAACAGCTAGCAGAACAACTGGCTGTAGAATCCCAGAAAATAGAAAAAGCTCTAGAATTTCAGCGTAATGAAGATGAAAAGTTGATTCAGAATAGAGTTAATGTTGAACGTCAGAGATTACGTGAACAGTTTAAATTAGAAAAAGAAAGATGGGTATGTATGTTGTTTTATTTGGTTTTCCTATAAACATTTCAAACAGAATCTATAATATTGATACCATTGAACTTCAGTATCAAAGAAACATCATAAACTATGTGGATTCTCTGCATGAAATCTAAGTTGACAAACCGAGTCACAGAATAGATTTAGGTAGGTAATCATGTCCCTTTGCTAAGAAATATTGATGTAGAGATCAAAGTTTTTGAGTTTTAGTTTGAAAGGTATTAGCCTACATCAGATTTCCATAACAGCATAAAGATAACATATTTTGTTACCTTAATATTAAATATTACTTTCCACTTGTCAAATGTGAGTAGTGTTCAAAAATACTAAAGTGTGAAAAGATTGAACTTAAAGCTAAATAGTGATAGTAATGGATAGTTAAAAAGAGATCTTACATTATTTCAGAATGATGATAGTAAAGTTGAATTTGAACAAGAATTACGTCATCATTTAGCCAGACAAGCTGCAGCTCATAGTGATCATTTAAAAGATGTTTTAAGAAATCAAGAAGCTGACTTATCCCAATATTTTGAGCGTGAAATGCATACCAGATTGATAGAAGAAAGACAATCATTTCAAACTGAAGTTGCTGGTTGGATAGCTAGGTTACAGGGTATTGAAGCAGCTGTTGATGGTAAATACTGTTAATTTTGATATGGTTATATATAATAAATGAAACTGTGCAGGCTGTGCTTTGAATAAAATTATTGAACTTATTTACATGGGTAGTTTACAACTTTTCTCCCACCAAATGAACTTTGCTTAGACTTTTTGCTGATTTTTAAGCCATTTATCGAATTAATACCTTCTCTGAGTTTGAACTGAAATTGACTGTTGTATCAGAGTTCATTTTGGGTTTGGAATATAATAGTGGATACATATTTTGTTTTAAATATTGCTTGTATCTATTACAGCCCGAGCAGAGAATGAAAGAACAGCGCGTACAGCCCAAGAGTTATGGTTAGCCTGTATTGCTATGAATGGAATCATTAGATTAGGTAAAGAGGATGGTATAACAATGGAGGATAAATTACAACCATTAGCTTCACAAGCTACAGCTATTACAGAAGCAGCTGGCAATCATCCTTTTATCCAGGCTGTCTTAAAAACAGTGCCTGAAGAAGCATTAACTAGAGGAGTATATACAGAAGATAGTTTAAAACAAAGATTTCCCAAAGTGAAAAAAGTTTGTAAGAGGGTGGCCATGATTGATGAAAATGGTGGAACATTGTTTCGATATTTCTTATCTTATGTTCAATCTTTCTTTATATTTAATTCAGTTTATGCTACAAGTATAGACGATACAGTAGATATTAGTGATTTAGATACATTTACTATTCTAGCCCATACAGACTATTATTTAGAGAAGGGTGATCTATTACAAGCCTTAAGATTTATGAATCAGCTACAAGGTGAACCTAGGAAAGTTGCTGCCGATTGGATTAAAGAAGCTAAATTATTATTAGAAACACAGCAAGCTGCATTTGCATTGACATCATTTGCTTCTGCTAGTGGATTAGGAACAATATTTTAAAGATGAATAAATATATATGGTGTAATTTGGGTTAAAGGTGTTTTACCTTACAATGTCTTGATAGTTTGTGCATAGAAACATGTAATCTGAGAGGCTTTTTCATCTTTTTCTATGACTGAACATGACAACCATGTACATTTATAAATCTAACAATCAATTGGTTGAAACTTTTTTTTAGCAAATATATAGTGAATGAGAAATAAGAGTAGAATGCTTCTTTGAGACACATGACTATGACTTAAACTATTGGATTATTGTAAATAATTGCCTTATGATAAATAGTGCTATTGATAGTGATTTAAAGGCTAAACTAAAGAGAATCAAGTTTTATATGAAATGAGATATGCAGATTGCTTTTTGTCAAATATAGGATACAATCAAGACAAGTGTAGTTATGCATATCTTTCTATTTGGCGAAAATAATTGATGATGTAGAGCTATAAACAGTTGTCATTCCTAACTTCCAGCCTTTTACCTACCATGTGATATAAATAGTTTCTCAATCTGTATAATTGCAAGCAAGAATGATAATTTGTACAGTAATTGGTTGCTGTGAATAGAACTTGTAATTATGTTGTTTTGAATTGTAAATTATATTCTATTTCTTTCTCTGCTTTTTATTTCACTTCAACTCTCATCTTTGAAGGCATTTTCTTAAGGTGCTCACTTCCAAATAATTAGAAGACTAAATCCCTTTAGTAGCTCTTAATTTCAAGACATAAACCAACTGCTGGGACCTATTACAACAAAAGAGAAAACTGTTTGAGGAAGATAAATATGAAGTTTGTACAAATTAAGATCCATATAAGAAAATATACAAGTACATAACATAACAAAAATACAAGACAAGTTAAAATAAATACAATATATAAATCTATCACAGAATCTGAACATAAACACAAAATATAACACCAAATTAGAATGATTAAAGAAATATAACCTGTCCTATTCTTATTTCAATTCATCAATTAGAAAACCTATTAAATTCCAATTCACTACAACCTAAAAATTTCAAAAAGCTACAATGTATTTTAAAACTCTAGGCCTAAAACTAAAAATTATGTCAAATGGCAATATCAAACCTTGAACGGTATTATTTCGAACCATAATCAATATGATTTTGAAGTAGGTTAAGTGACCATATATGAATTGCTGAACTACTTTCAGTAATTAGTGAGGTAGACAAATTAGTAAAAAAGTCACGTTTCATTAAAATCTTATGGTAAGAGTATGTGCCGATTTACTTGATATATATTTTGAAATATATAGATATTACATGTACTCTAAAACAGAGTTAAACCTGAATGTCATCGTGGAAAAACTCTGAAAATCAAACTAATGATAAAAAGCAAATGAAGTTCATAAATAATTCATGTCATTTTGCAGCATAAAGATACTATGGTCATTCATGAAAACGCTTGCAAATTAAGGTAATAATTTGAACAAGTCATGGATTCACCAACATAAAAATCTGAATAAAATTCTATCTTGTACAGTGTCCATATGACAATATGAATCAAACAATGATGAAAATATGTGTCTTGGATATAACAGGTGTATAAAAATAATTATTGATGGACGGATGTATATACAATATTATACTTAAAAGGTGAGATCTCCAGTGAATAACACATTCAAGTTCATATGATTAACAAAATTAGACATTGCCGACCTTGTTATAAAAGGGCAGTGATCACTCTCAGTTGAAATTAATGATCACTTGCTAAAATTACTGGCAGACTCAACCACTGTCACTAATATTAACAACAAGGACTTATTGGTTTGTCAAAATTTCTCATTGATTGATTGATTAAAGACAAAAAATTAAACCTATGCAATATCTGAGTCAACTAATCACTTTATGATACTTACAAACATTTGAAAAGTATCAACTACTCTAATTTACATCATTTTAAACAGGCTGACTATGTGTAATAGTTAAAAGCACTTAAAGGATATTCTAAATCATTATTCAAAGATTATCTACCAAAAGGAATGGTTCTATTGGCAGGACTCCAAGCTGGACGGAATTCACTTTCATTAGATAAACTTTGATGTCTTTTATATTCTCTTTCTTTTCTTTCCCGTTTTTCCTGAAAATATAGGCATTGTTTTTAAATCATATTGATACCTTGAATTCTAAGCAAAGTAATATTGTATCAGACTCAATATCCAAAATTATGAATACCTTTCATTGTAATCTATATACCTTCAACTATAGCTTATTAATCTTATTGTTGATTAATGATCCTTATAAACCATTAGGTTCTTTTTATAAATCTCACCACAACACTTCCCAATTATTTGATATTGTTATGTAATGTCTTGATCTGTGTCTGTATTATGAAATAAGTTACGATTCTCTCTGTTTGAATCTGGTCATCTGATTTAACTAAATGCCTCCACATTTGTAAAATAAACTGATCCAGAGTTACCAGTTATATCATTAGTGTTAGTATATATTAACATTTAACAAGGAAATTAGCACAACAATTTTACTAGGCTTGATTATGTTAAATAGGCCTGAATAAAACTGTAAATATGTAGCCTACCTTTTCTTCCAGCCAAATTTCATATTCTTCTCTGGCTGCTTCTTCTTTAGCTGCTCTTTTCTTTTCTTCTTCATAAAGATCAGGTTGACTTCTCTTTTCTTCTTTTATCTTCTTCTTTATCACCACTTCTTTTCTATCTTTCCTGTAGATAAAATGAACCAGATAATACATCTCATTGCCTTTTGTGAAGATCAAAACCCATGGGAATGTATACAAATAGAAATTGTGTCAGCTTTTTTAATTTTTATCACTCAACGAAAAAAAACTTAAGAATTAGTGCTGAGTATTGCTAACCAAGATTTGATACATATTACAACAAAAGATATACAATACGCCTCATATCACGATAAAAGATATAAAATAAATGTGCTTTGCAATATGGGGTCATAGACAAAAGTACTTGTACCAGTTTATCTTCAAATTTTCATGAATATCAGTATCTATTATCAACAGCTTATTGCTTCATCTTTACATTCACGATTTGAATTTCATCTTTCAATTTCTACTGCATTTGGATGTTAAGTTATATGTGTATGTCATATATTTGTCTGGTATGCCAAGTATTGTAAGGCATCGACACACGACTAGTATTAGTTTTAATTCAATGATTTATCATTAATAAAAACCTGGCACAGTATTCTTGAAATGATGTTAGTGCCTAGAAACAATCTTAGAAGTTAGGACATTAACCTATCCTATTTTATATATTATGTAGTATCCTAACAAAACTCAAATAGTATCACAATACCTACCATGTTCTAAATGCTGAACTAGCAGATTTTGATCGCTCCTGTTTTTTTTCTTGTTCTTGTCTAATTTTTTTCTGTTCATCTCTTTGTTTTTTAGTCAATTGATGTTTAATAACATGATCTTTAGTTTCTTTCCAAGCTTCGTAACTCTACAAAATAGAGTAACATTTTTATTATTTGACATTTTTTGACATATTCAATATCATTTATTCGTAATCAAAGGAATATATGCAATTTTGAAGATTTACATATTAGTATTAAATATTTAGTGACAAGGACTTGCACTGTAGGAAACTACAAGACAAGATATCATTCCGATGATAGATGACAAATTAACATCTACTTTCAGCAGAAGCTGATATCCCAGACTAGGTAGAATATCTAATATTACTTTTATAGCATCAATCTTCTTTTCCTGCTTTTCATGTTCTTTTTCTGCCATTTTCTTTGTTTCTTTCATCTTATCTTTCTGTTGTTTCTTTAATTCTTCTGTCTTCTTTTCATTCCAAGCATTGAATGAAGACATAGCCTCTAACTTCTTTTCTTTTTTTTCCTAAAACATATATCTTAATTATTAAAAGGAGTCGAGCATTTTAGTAGAAATGAAAAAGTTTCCTTTCGTCTTCCTTATAGATAAATTAAGTTTAGCTTTGTTTTTCTACTTGGATTACAATTTGGGAGGAGCAATATGTGACAACAGAAATATAATTATGATAAAAAAGACATATTGTAACCTGTTCCTTCTTCTCCTGTTCTTCTTTTTCCTTCCTTTTCTTTTCAGAAATTTCTTGCTTAGCTTTTTTATTGCGTTCTTCTTTCCACTGGTTGAATACAGCTTCTCTCATTGATTTAGTATCATTGATATCATAGACAACAGTTGATTTATTTTCACCTGCAGGTGTAGAGTATCGAGGTTTAGGTTTATGTTGATCTAATGTTGCTTTTTTATTCTGGGTACTGAAATATTTTTAATAAAACATTGACAGATGTAAGTAATTCAGAGCTTTGAAACCTTTGTAGGCAAAAGACATCAAATTAATATATATTGTCTAATAATTCATTTTTTGAATTCCACAACCTTAACATAGCTAAATATGTTTGTCATTCAATTCACATTAATATCCATTATAATTTTTTTTCATCAAAATATCAACCTACTTTGTCTTTTTATCAGGATCTATATATTGCATGGCATTCTGAGCATCAGCTATATTATCAATAATTTCATCACTTTCTTTATGTTCACTGGTTTGATTCTTTGAGGACCTGAAAATGTGACATTCAAAATTTAATGCAGACAGGGCAGATATCAGACAAGCCTAGAACGGACAGAACCAGGGTGACTGCACCACATGATAACCTGTTTTTGTGTACCTTACTTACATCTCAGGAACCTCCTTCTGATAGTTACGTTAGGTCACAAGGTTAGTCGAGAGACTGTCCAGGTAGCTTTGAAGTCAAGGAATTATATGGATTTGCAGCGATTTTGACAGGCCGATTTTTATTCTCGTCACTTTTTGTGACTCTGATGCCATAACCGGAAGCTATACATTTTGTTGCGCTGGTTTCATTGACTTATCAATCTGTTTAATATTTACTATTTGAAACCAATCATGTATATAGGTTTTTTTTTCTTATTTTCTTGGGTGTTTTCAAACCTTGGTAAAGATTCTTTTGGCCTTCAGTTTATATTAAAACTCTATTTTTTCAGTTTATGTAATGATATAAATATCGCAAGATTTATGGGTTAATCAAATATTAATTATAAAAACAATGCCTTATTTGATGTATTCTACTTACTTTCTTGGCTTTGTTTCTGGCTGTATGCGAAGATTTTCATTTGGTGGATTCGGATCAACTTCATATTCTTCACAAATAGAACTAGCATCTGCTTCTCTCTCTTTATTACGCTTTACAGAAGATCTGCGTTTCGGACGTATCTCATCAGACCTTGGCATGTAACCTTCCATTTCTTCAGTAAATGAATCATTAGATTTCTCTTTTCTATAAGAACTACGATATTTATTATCATTAACTGCTGTATCACCACCAGCCATCAATTCCATTAAGGATGGTGTCCTTCTTTCTGGTTGTCTTTCTTCAGGAGGAGATTTACGCCCATCATATTTCGATCTTCTTTCATCTACTGGAGTTTTCCTCCCAGCAGCCTTTCTGTCGTCTGTAGGTGTTTTTCTACCTTCCGCAAAAGGACGTCTTTTATCTGTTGGTGTTTTTCTGTCTTCTACAGGAGTTTTTCTACCTGTTGGAGTTTTCCTTCCATCAATTGATGCTTTCCTATCCATGGATGACTTTCTTCCATCAGGTGTTTTTCTACCATCAGGTGTCTTCCTGCCACTGACAGGCGTCTTGTTACCTGATCTTTGTAACTCAAACGATTTCTGGCGATCTAAGTCTTTGGACTGGCGTCGTTTTGGTTTAGGTGATGGCAGTTTTCCTTCATCTTCCTCATCATCATCTAAAGTAATTCTTTTGGATCCAAATAAATCCATGGTAGGGGTTGCTCGCTTCTTTTTGGTTTCTTCTGAATCAGTTCTTCTAGGTCTGGGTGATGGCTTTCCAGTAGGACTTTCCAATGGTTCTAATCTGAAAACAAATGCTGGACAGTCAAAAAAAATATTTTGTAAATACGACTATAAGTAAAGCCATTACTTTAAACCTACACTGCAATAACTCTTCTCAAACCCAGCCAGAAGAATTTGTGTATTCACAATTCATCAGTCTTACCTACTATCTTAATAACACTGGAATGAAACCTCCAACTTTTGAAGATATCATAGCATCAATTTGCACCTTTCCAAATTTCAATCAGATGTCTGTGGTTCCTGAAAGTGTTTGATGATGTCAGTAATCGCAAAATATGCTTCATCACATAAGACACTTCGCAATTAGTGACACCATCAAACATTTAGTTTTAGAAATGAGACCACAGACATCAGATTAAAAAATGAAATGAAATAAATGGAGTTTTACTTGACCTCAGACTGAAAATTGGAATTGTGCAAATTGATGCTATCATTGTCCCAAATACACATACAAATTTAGAAAATTTAAATAACTTGAAGTCTGAAACCATAATCAAAATCCTGTTTTAATAGTTTTAGGCTTTGAATCAGGTTTGAGAGTTCATCACAATGGAAAATGAAATAATAATAATTTTCTGGACAAGAAGACAATGGGAAAAAATCTTTAGATTACATGATGATACAGTTACCAATAGCACATTGATATACAAAAAGATTACCTTGGAGATCTTTCAAATTGACTTTTTCTAAATGATTCATCACGCTCCTTACTAGAATCTCGAGACAGTCGTCCCCTTGACAAATCTATAATGAGAAAAGGATGTCAGATTTATTACTGTATTAATACTTTTAGTACCTTTAAAACTAGATCTTATTTAAAATACACAATCAATCTATCATAGAACTGAAAATAAAACTCTAACCTGAAGGCTCTCTGCTGAGGAAATCTGGGGATGGAGCCTTGTTTTTGTAAGATGGTGGCTGCCATTCTGTTCCTCTCTTATTGGAGATATCTTCTAAAAGTGGACTCTTTCTGCTGTAAATGTAAAATCATATTATTAAACTAGCTTAAACCTGGCAACACTTGACATAGGAGAAAATCAAGGAAATATCACTCAAAATAGACAAAAATCTCAAGCAATGAGGGTTAATTTGATCATATTTGATATGAAGATCATACAGCATTTAAACTTCTGCTAATAGAAATTGCAGAGAAATATCCCTTAGATTGCACACGGAAAGGTTGTATCAAAGTCCATGACATTTTGTTTTTTTGTTCATACCTTAAAAATGGACTCTTTCTATCTTCCTTTCGAGGAGAGGGTTTATCATATAAAATATCTTCTGCTGTTAAACCACCTTTATGATCTTCAGGACTTCTATCTAAAGTGGTTTGTTTCTTTAAAAACTTGGATCGACCACTATCTTTATCATTCATAGTATTGAACAATGAATCACGATCTTGAAATTTTAACGTTGCTCCTAAATCTGGTGCTTGTCTGCGTTTTGCTGAGTTTGGTCGATTTCTGGACTTTGATGTATAGCCTAACGAAAATAAGCAGATAAGACACTGAAATACGCTTAAAGAATTATAATTTATAAATCCTAGTACTGTTGTGCAAATTGTGGATAAATAGAAAAAATTATATTGTCAAAGATATATTATTTTTTGGGGGGTAATCTAGTTCAGTGTTGGAACAATATATCTGGTTCAAATGTGGATGCAAGTTTTTTTACTAACTTGAAATTACACACAAAAAAATTAGTCTTTCGCTTGCAGTTCACATTTAGTGTAAGTTGTCATAAAAAGTTGGAGATGAAATAAAATAAATGAAACTTACCCAATTCTCCAACATAATCATCATTTTCTGAATCAGACTCATCACTTGTAATATCGGTTGTTAAATTTTTTCTTCTTCTATCTGCTAACTTTGATGTTAATTCAGATTGAAAATTATTAGTTGATTGTCGCGCATGTCTTGGTCTAATCATAGGTGAATCAACTTCATCCATTTTCCTAAAAATAAAATCATTTTGTTGGTGTCAGATTATGCAGTATTATATTTTTACCTATGTGAAGCAGTTAAATCTCAAAAGTGCTACTTATTCACATCAAAATTCTCTATGAGACATATATGTCCTTCAATGTATTTACCAATTAAAATTGGCTTCCATGTAAACATACCATAATACCAAAGACATGTTGGGCATTATTTCATGTACAAGGCCAGAATTGTAATGTGTACATTTTGTTCATATGATGCTTTATGCTTGTTCAGAACTAAACAGAGGCCTCAGTTATTAAATTTTAATCCCACTTGATTTAAATTATTCAAAGAGATCTGGGCAGTGTGTAATGTATTAAGTACATGTAGTTTCAATTCAATATTTCAATGTGATAACAAAAAATAGCATTTCCGAAGTCGCATAATTTTATCTCCTTCGGTCAAAATTACTAGGCTATATAGTAAATTTGACCCAAGGAGATAATTGTGTATATTTGCAACAAAATTCATATTATTACATTGATATATTATCAATTATATTAGACATAAAATCTACTATCTTTCTCATTAATCTATTATTATTATTAGCCTGTAGTAGATGATTATGAAATAGTATGATGATGATGGCTGAACTGCTGAAAAAGCTAAAGAAGTTTTTGGAAACGTGACATGAGTCAGTAGTTAAAACATACATATTATCAGAAACTCCAGGAAACCAACTAAAAATATAAATCTTTACCTTGTTTTCTATGAATTCACAAAAATAAGAACTAAAACATGTTCAATCGATTTTTCTGATGTTTACACGTAACTGGGCAGGTGGCTACAATAAAATTCGCCATAATTTGACCCGACATATTAAACGAAATTACAATTATTTAATTTGTTGTTGTTTTTCTTTAATTCATTTTAAAAAAAACTTACTTGAAATTAAAGTTCGGTTAATGAAAATTGATAAAAATAACCGTCAAGACTACTTTGAAGCGTCTTCGGGATTTCGTTTTCAAACTTCCTTTAACATTCAATTGTACGATACCCATACAGTGCTTCTTTACAGTCCAGTCGGTCACCTTGATACTACTAACTTCAGATTTGTTTTTTTCCATTATTACCAGTTCAGAATGGGTGCTGAAGAGGTAGGGAGGCCCTTGCTTCATTATGTATTTTTTTCATTGGTCATCGGCCTGCATACTGGTTATTTAACTCTTGAAATAATCCATTTTCTTTTTAAAAACGTAGTCCGAATTATTCCTCCTCCTGATAGTCTCCTCTGTCCCTGACTTTTGCCCCCTCCCCCGCCCAAATAAACACACACACACCTTTCCAATATAATTAGGAGAGGGGAACACTGGCAATTGGGGCAATAAGTAACATGGAAATTACTGGATGAGAGATACTGGTGTGTGTAAACCAAAATATGATAATAACCATGCATTCAAGAATGAAGTAATTATGTATCACTCTCGGCTACCTTCCGACCACAGGCATCTCTTTTTTGCACTTATTATCATTTCACAAATATTCAAAATGGATATTATGTCTGATAATGTAAATGTAATTTAGAAGTGAAACTGGTTATTGAAAACCTGATCCAATATTGAATAAAGAAAATCTCTGTCAGCAGTGATATCTTAATTTACTTCATATTTTTTAGGTTAATTACATTATTAAAAATAATGCAACTATGAGAGAAAGAATAATATTTGGATTAACTGGATCAATAAATGGTGATCCTAGTAAAATTTTCAGATTCAATTCTAGAGATATGATAGGTAGAAGAAATGTAAGTAGATCATTAGCTCTTCTAATTGAATAGTTTTGTAAAGGAACTAATGATACTTTTATGATAGTGATAGATGTCAAATTTTTCAAAGTTTGTTGCTGACAGATTGTTGCCTATGAAAAATGAAGTCATTGTTATGTGTTTATGTTTTTATTATCCACACTCACAGCAGTCATTGCTCAAAGCAAAGCTGCTGTTTAGTGTTTACCTATAATTGTTCTAAAAAAAATTGTTCAATATTCAAACAAGTTTGGTTTTTCGAATCATGTTGAAACAAAACAATGTTTTTTCCACATACAACATCCTTTTGTTAGAAACGCAGAAAAATGTCTGTTATTTGCTTCAGGATTAAACTAGAGTGGGTCACAGCAATTACTTAACATGCTAGAATAATTGGATAACTATCATACGAATAGGCTCTTAACAACATTGACATATTTCATCTAGAACAATAATTACAAAGAACAGTAACTCATTTGATTAGTTTTTTCATAGCATTTGATAAGTATTATCTTTTTCTACTTTTAGTCAACTGTGGCAACTGTGATTGGATGTTATTTTTTGTATAAATATTTTACCAGAGGTTCCAAGAAGAAGAGCTCTTAAAAGGAAATGTTTCGAAAACTTAAATTTCTTTATATTATAAGTTAATTAACAGTGTATAGACAGACCATTAAATTTATTGGTTTCTTTCTTGGTTTGTTTAATAATAAGAATAGAATTTTTGTAGTTAATGTATTTTTATATCACCCTCTTTGACTAGAAGCAAAGAATGCATGAAATGCTATGTTGATGAAAAGCTTTTAGGAGGACCACTTGTTTCTTGCCTGAGGAGGATAGCACACAAAGAAAGCTATTTAAAATTAGATTATGATTTGGTTTTGTTATTATTTTTTGTCGGTCTCCATTGTCATCTTGGAAGATTTACACCAAGGTCTGCAGATACTTGCGTGTAAAGGTGGTTCTGATTTGTAGGAGACTGGCACCAGATTGTTTGCTATAATAAGCTTGAATTGTCACCAGTGTGCGACATTGGTATCAATTTCATTAATTACAATAGAGACGAAACAAAATTGTAATCTGATTTTAATAAGAATGCACAAAAAGCAATTGACAATAGAGAAAACAACAATTTGTCTGTACGAGATTCAACAAACCATCTTTATTTTCCATCACAGATTAAAGTCACTGATAATAAGAGAATATCTTTCCTTATATTTAATAATTATGAGTCTATGGAATCATAATCCATATGAGTTTTTTACACAACATGATTCAACAAATAATGTCTATTTCTTTAATTTCGACCGTTTTTCATTAGCAGCTTTCCTATGAGGTATCACACTCTCAGTGATATTAAATGTTTTCACCACTTCCTGTTAATAAACCAATAAAAATCAGGGTCATAAGCAATCAATATGTGTATGATTATTTTTAATATTAACCCTTTGAACCCTGAGTGTAATTGAATTATAACGTCATATACCCTGAACTCCCAAGTAAAAGTAAAAGCGTATGATGTTAACGTTGTATGACGTCACTCAGCAATGGCCGGTATACCTGCTGCTCTGGCATATATTGCATTAATATTAAAGAGGCCCCTAGGGTTGAAAGGGTTAAAAGAAAGATAAATTCCATCGCATTGTGGTAATTTCAAATAAATCAATTGCTACAGCCATAAAATGAAGTTTGAATAGTTTAGTGACTTATCTGAATTGATGTATTATTTTATTCAATAGTAAAGCTTGAAAGTTTTTTCAATATTCTTTTCTGTGAAATCTAAGGTAATAAGCTAGGTACACACCAAAAATGTTTGGGGTAGTATCAAAGATAAGATGTGAATAAATACCTTCCATTCTGCAGGTGAAAGTGATATTATAACTTGTTTATTTTTAACATTTTTATTTGTTTTCTTGTCACTTTCTTTGATTGGTTCTACAAAGGTAAAAATTAAATCATAATCAACAATACTAATAACCCCTAAAGTTCTTTTTTAAAACTTTAGCCCTTGGATAGTAATCACATAAGTTTGTATGACATACAGTAATTATGATACGATTTCACAGAACAAGAATTTGTTAACCATAGATTAGTGAATAAAATATACCAAATACTGAAATCTAAAAAAAGGAATTGACATACTGACTCATCTAAATCACAATTTATTTCTAGTTTGACTGTAGACAAAACAATGGCAAGTTAATTTTCTGAACAGTGCATTTAAAAGAGAAAAAAAAACAATAAAGATATGATTTATTAAAAACTTACCTAAAACAGGAAGTTTATCTTCATCTAAAGATATTTTAAGAACACCATCCTGAAATTAATAAAATGTCTGATATATAATGTTTTCCATTCCAGCTTTAATTCATAAAGTTATGGGTTGAAATATCAACATTAATAAATATCATGTCAAATACTATTATGCTGAGATTAAAGATTGTTCACTTCACATTATTAAAAGAACAAATAAATATTCAATATGGCCAACATTTTCAGCACCAACCAACATTCATAACTTTTTCTGGCCCATGCTATACACTGGAGTCCATATAACTTATGTTTATCCTGTATATATATCTTGCAAATCTAATGCTTTTCCCTGTATATATTATTTAAAGTTCATCTCAAAAAGTCATTCAAATAGGAGATCAAAAAATGGATTACTATTTCAACTACATGATCTTTTGTTTTCAACCCTTTCTGCTTTAAGAAGACTGTCTGATAACTTCACTGCTGAAGTTTTAAGGACAAAGTTGCCCCATTTTAATTTTCATTCAGACATCTGTGGTTCTTGCAATTCTACAAGAAGCAAGCCTTCATGAAATCACTATCACACATGCTGCTTATGATATATGTTAGCTTTAAAGGCATCACTATTACTAAGGCTAAGTTTTCAATGAATTATATGAGCCATAGAAGTCTTACTGATAATTATAATGGAGCTAATAGATCCTACCTTTGTCCCTGAAACACAGAATAAGTTTAGAAACCTCTTTATTATCCTGTTCAGCCTTTATTTAGAAATATTAGATTATATCCATGAAACAATGTCTTACCCTGACTAGAAATGAGACATAAAATATATTTTCTATTGTTTGACCAAATGAATGGGGATTTGTAACAAATTCAAAATAACACAGTGGATTATCTGAAAGAAAAAAAAAAAGCATTGTAAAACGTCATGAATTTGGTACAAAAATAATAAATACTCTGCATCTTTTATTATCATAAAAATTTTTACCAAGCTAAGTGAACAGAAAAAGGTTGGAAACCTTATGATCAGAATATTATTTTTATTGCGTGAGTAAGTTGTAAACAACACATACTTTTAGTTTTTTCATAGCACTTTTCTAAAATTTTGTATATTCTTTCAACTTCAGCTGTAGTAGCCTCCATTTTATCTGTATCTTGTACTCGCTGAACTTGTATAGGTACAGTAGCTTTATCAACACCACTGTCTTTTTCTCTTACTTTCTTCACTCTTTCTTTACGAACATCAACTTCTCCTTTTTCAAACGCTCCATTCCTGATCACATAACACATGATAATAATATAAGTTATAACAGTATAAAGATCTAGTCTAATTTACTGGCAGTTCAATTCAGAATAAACATTCACGTATATTAGTAGAATTATATATAATGCCATTTATCTGACAATCAACAGTTATTACTTTGACATTGACAGAAACATACTGATACATCATTATATCAACAGGAATTATATAGAAATTAGTCTTGGACAAATAACCTAGAGTAAAGTGAAAATAGCTGTCATTAGAAACTGTTATACTTACATAAATCTAAAAGGAGGTGATCTTTTAAAGAATGGTTGTACAGCTGCACCTAATGTACTCCACTTTTCAGTAGAAATGGTACCAGTTTCTAGCACATTTCCGCAGACAAATGTTTTCTAAAATAAAATTATACAGTAATAATACAAACTGTACAAATATTGAATTTAAAAATTTAAACTGTCTACAATAATATTCGTATGACCCACTTTTTTTTACATGTTGTTAGTTGACCAAAACTTTACCTATAAGTCTAAGGGCGCCCGCACACGGAGAGAAAATGGCGCAGCGCTAACAAGTAGCGCTTCGTGTGCGGGTAATTTTCAGTGTACATTTGGCCACTCGTGGTCGTGTGGAAAATATCTATAGTGTTTGATATTTTTGACCACTCGTGGCCGATAGCACCGTGTGCGGGTAACCATGCACAACTTTCTCAAACGACGAACACAACGCGCATGCGTGACTATCACTGTAGTAGTTGGCCATTTTGATTTATCATGTGATAGGCTGACGTCAGATATAGTTCAGCGAAAGGCGCATCATGTACGGGGAGTAGTGTGGTGAGAAAGTATCGCGCCATTTGAAACATTGAAAAATGTCAAACATGATTGTGATCACATTGTCCTTGGTTAGAAAAAAAAAACAATAAATGTGTCAATCTGATGAATATCCAACTGTGAACATTTTTGTCACTTAAAATTTCATGAAAAATAATTTTTCCCCAAAAGTGCATCATGTGTTTTTATTGACCGAATACAGGGTATTTCCCTTTTTCTATTATTTCTGGACTATGGTATAACATTCATATTGTTTTTAATTTATCAAACAAACTTAAATTACAGAAAATTAAAGGGACAGGTTTGCCATCCGTTCCTTGGTCCCAGAAACTTTTAGCCATACTAATTAGTAATAGTGTTTACAGCTCGTAATTTGAGCCTTCAAATCCATATGTGTCCTGAATTATCTAGGTTATAGTTAAAATGACGACTCATCTTTTCCTGAGACTCTGACATATATAGAAGAAACATACACAGAAATAGAATGAGAAATTCTTAGTTCTAGCCGCTCTAGGTATTTTTGAAGGAATTAAGCGTTTTTCGTACATTTCTTGTAGGCCAAATCTGAATACAATTTACATATAATTTAGACCCAAAATCAATCTTTGAAAATGGCGAAGCTGTCCCTTTAAAACAAAGCAGATATAATAGAAAATAGAGTCCAACAGCTACCAATTTTTCAACAAATTCCACAGGTTGAAATTTAACAAATTCTGTGTTTAAAGCCTGAGCTTTCTGTCTACCCATATTAGCTATCATCACCAAGGCTTGTGAATCCAGGGCAGCTTCTCTTGTCATCTTAACTGAAAGAGAAAATACTATAATAAGTACAATCGAAAACTTGAATTTGGAGCTTTTATCAAATAATTTTCTTTATTGTCTGTAGTTAAAGTTTGCCAGGCAAGGTAATATACGCCCTCTGGCAGCTTTGACTTGAAATAAAAATATTTGGCAGTACAGTAACTATCACCAGTATAATATTCAACACTTCTTTTGAACTTTTTGGGGTGATACCAAATGGCCTCTTTAAAAGTCATGCTAGTGCTCTGCAACATATCACACTAATGAACTATGTCAATATTGTCAAGAGACTGGTCGTTCAGGACAAAATGTGTTTGGAAAAAAAGTCAATGAAAACAAAACATCTGTAAGATATGTATTTAAACTGACTACAATATAGAAATATCACAAATTGAACGCATTTTCAAGAACAAGGCCAATAAATCACATTAAATATTTTTCGATTTTTCTGATTTTAATAGAGTTTATCCTTGGGTGATTACAAACATTCACACAAAGTTTCGTCAAAATTCATAAAGAATGATGCCTTCTAGAGTGTTTACAAGCTAAATATTGAATGCGTTTTCAAAGAACAAGGGCAATAACCCATACTAAATATTTTTTATTTTCAATAGGGTTCATCCTAGGGTGATAACAAACATTCAAGTTCCAACAAAATCCACATGGGCAGACAAAGGTGATGCCAATATATGCACCCCATTTCATGTGGGCGTATAAAAATAGACTCCAAAAGACAAATCTTATATCATGAACTTAATCTTCTATTTTAGATTTTGAAAAAACTTTCAAAGGGCCTCACAAAATGCATCGATTACAGTTAAACCCCCTCTAAAAAAAAAAAATCGTGAAATGCCTGTTTGGAGGGGTTGCCAGTTTACCTGTAGTTAAAAAGTTACATCCCTTTATGACTTAATCAATTATCTGTAGTTATTGCCCTTTGTTAACTGTAATGTTAACTGGATGTCATTTTCAATGCCAGAGAATCTACAGAGAACTATACAATGGCGGTTTTCTGTAGTCAGAATGCATACTATTGCTCCATATTAAAACTTGCCATTACAAACCTGGTTTATAATATTCATCAGCTTGTTTCAATCTTTCATTTAATTCATCTGATTCTGGATTGATTAAATCATGTTTATCTCCTAAAATTTAAATCCAATTACAATGTTACATATCTTTATGGTAACCTTTATTTTCTCTAAGTGGAGTAATATTAGATACATATACATACAGACTTGAAGCTGTTTGAATTATTTTCAAGCCATAAAAGGATTCAGCACAGGTCATCTGGCAATGCTTAAGTTGGATTCCTTTCTTTGTGTGTGGTTCCTATTATTCCTTTTATTACACTTGTCCAGATTTTGACATAACCATTGCAAATACCGTTTAATAGTATAATAGTTAGTACCCAATACTCACACAAGGGGAAGAAATCTTATTAATTTCTTTAATATGGAAAGAATCATATATGCTTATCTGTTATTGGTGGAAAATAATGATTTAAAAGCCATTTTAGTGGGTTGATTTAAGTCGAAATATATGTATGTAGTCTGAAGAACTACGAACTGCACAAAAATCACACAATCCCTTCAAATATACAGCAAACTGTGGTGGAGTATCACAGTAATCTGGACAAAAAGGGACATAAGGCTCAAATGTTGATGGTGAGTTGCGAATACTATTACTGATTAGCTCAGCTAAAAAATTACCATGTTTCTGAGACTAAGGTATGTTTAGTCAAACAGATGGTGGATGTGTCCCTTTATCATAAAAGAGCCATTATTCTCATTATAGATCAAGTTTTCCCTAAAGGGACCAAGAACAACATAACTTACTCTCAAGATCTTCTATCAATTTTCTATAATTCTGTCTGATTTCACGTCTTTCGTCTGCATCTTGAATTGGTTTTAAATATTTCAAATTATTTTCTTCCGTGTTTGCTAAATCAATGTCTTCATCATCACAGTCAGTTGCTGCATTGTTATTATTAACTTGATCTCTACTTTCAGCCATTTTCTTTTCCTAAAGTAACAGTATTTCATACATTGTCAATTTTGCTAGAATAATTTCTGGTTTTCTTTCTTTTATAAATCCAAAGATGTAAAAAAATTAGGAAAGATAAAATAAAATCCTGAACCATATGTGTGCATACCCTTTGTTTCAATTGATAAATCTTTTTTTCCAAGGTTATAAAAATGTGTCTGTAGTGTGAGCATACTTGCCATGAAAAGAAAGTATTCTTTTGTTAAAAGCAAAACGAACTTCATTTCGTAAAATAAAAACAAAAGCGATAAAGAATCTCTTTGCGAAAAAGCCATCAAACTGTCACGGTCAGTGTTTATCTGACTAAGTACTACCTAAGCTATATATAGCCTAGTTCTGGGTGGATGTGACAATCTACAAATGAAGTTTAAAGAAGAAGATTTTTAACGATTTATAATTCTACTTTCAATTTCATTCAGTTGTAAATGTAGAAAATGGAGAAAAGGGTATCAAATTCTTCAGTAACAGAAAATGGAAATTAGAGTGACCTATACGTACTAATAATTGTCAAAACAATCAAGTTGTTTCTCGACAAATTAATGTACAAATATCGGCTAGTAGCAGATTCTAAGGAATATCAAGCTTGGTATTCTTCGGTCCTATGAAGATATTCTTATTATGTTCTCTCCCGCCATATTAGTATTCTAGAGTCACGTGGAAAATTAAAAAGTTTAAAATAGGATAGTCGCGTACAACAGGTGTATTTTGGCTGGTTAATTGAGTCTATTTATTTAGACCGACTTTATTGTGGGAGCCGCGGTAGCTCAGTGAGTTTGACGCTTGCTCGCTAACCTGAAGGTCCAGGGTTCAATCCCGGCATAGGTCGAGATAATACCTTCGGATTTTTCAACCTGGTTTCCCTCTGTCAGTGATGCAGGTAAAAGAGGGGCATGGAAAAAGCCTCTAATAGTCATTTGGATGGGACAATTAAATAAACCGCGGCCCCGTGTGCTACTATAGGCTGTGCACGTTAAAGATCCCGCGACAGTTGGAAATCGAATAAGAGCATGTCACTTGTCCTGGCAAAATTTCCCTCATTGCCCCCTGCATGGCGTTGCACGTCTTTATTAGCCAACATGGTGCAGAAAAGTAGGACGTAAAACTCCATTCATTTATAATAAATAATAAACCAGGTACAACGGTCCGAACCGCAATTGAAATCCATACAACATATTGACGAACATAGAGCATCTCATTCACATGAGGAAGTATATCAATCATAAGTTAGTAAGTATTTCTTAATGAAAAGTGGTAGGCCATCGGTGTCTATAGAAGATCGTGTGCATGCCTACCCTAGCTGCCTGGCGCCATGTTCAGCCGTCATAGCTTCTCAACATACACAACACACACTACAAATAGGAACGCACCATCAAATGAAATAGCTATTTGACGTCGGGATAATATTGTATTCTCTATGGATAATTAATAATGCTTTATTAAACACATATAATCAAGATTTAAAAGCACGAATTACTTTTACATGAAAAATTATTTTAAAGGAACATTCCGCTTTTTTTTGTAAACAAATTATTATCAAATGTTAATTTTTATCTATTTGATCAAACTGAATTTGTTTTAAAAGGGTTAATTAAAAACGTAGAGTACTAATTGACTAATTGTTAATTGAGCAGTTTGACTTAGTTTTGGTGACTGCTTTATAATGGCTCGTTATATTTCGTGTTTAGAAAACGTTAGAGACATATTTCTCTACAATAAGGCGTTTATTTTACTCAAATTCGTAAAGTAGCCTAGTTTTCTAACAGCTTGCAAAAAGAATAACGAACATTAAAACGCAAAGTTTTAGCGTTAAAAAATTAACGGTTGGATTTTTTTAGTTAGGCCCTAAAACTTTCAGTTACGTTATGGAATATATTTCTACAGATTTGAATTTTATAGTTTTTCACAAATTTGAGGAAAACAAATTCGACCTACAAAAAAGCGGAATGTCCCTTTAAGTTTGAATATAGATTGAATCTTCAGATATAAGTGCGACTAGTTTACAACCTAAAATTAACGAAAAGTCTAAAACCACTAAAATGTAATAGTAAAACACCCATTCCTCACATCTTGCACGATCTAAAGTTTAGATCCCGCTGGTATGAAATCGATCCAATTTTAAACTTGTCATCGCCTATATGGAAGTCGTTTATATTTAAACCACAGTTCTAAAACCCCTGTACGGATCTGACATTTATAACCATGTTTATAAGAGCAGTTCCATTCACCATCGAGTATTTTAAAAGCTATGTCTTCGTAAGGTGGTCCAGCGCTAAATTTTAACTTTGAAAATCCAGGCTCATTGACTAGTGGTTGAACACTGTAAGTGGGTATTTGATTTTGATCTATTAAATCACGGTAATCGATATTAAACTGATAACCTATAATAGTTTTAGGGGGTGGATTATCACTATCATAATGAGTTTGTTATATCTATTCCACGAATATCCAGTCAATAACTTATTACAATACTTTGGTTTTCTTGGTTTATATTTCCTATTTATTTCTTTTAAATAATCCATTTCAGATTTATCCTCTTCATGACAGGACAATTCACATTCAGAAAATCTAACACCTCCAAGCTCCATATTGGTTTCACATATCAAATCTGCTTTACGCTTCATTTCCAGTAAGGCTTTATTGACCTAGCCAAAAACAATCTACCAAGTGGCTAGTTTTGTTCATTTATTATGAAAACAGATCCTTAAATACTCAAAATCAACGTTTATAAACGTATAGTTTAAGAGTAAGAATAACGTTCAGTTAAATATCAGTTAAAAGACAAACGTATATCAACGTTGAATGAACGATTTTAGAACTACTTAAAAAAAATCTGCATTAAAGTTTGATATGAAATATTTTAAGTCTAATATGTTGAAGGGTCCAACAACATATCATGGTCTTGATTTAGTCCGGTTGTGGAATACCGATTTGGAAATGTTGTTTTATTCTGTAAGTTTTAAGAGGGGGATGCTAGTGCAGTAAGCTACATGGGGTTTTGCATACCAGTAAATTATGTAGTTGCGTCCCTTTATACGATACAAGCGTATTTTTCCTTCTTTGATCCGAAACAAGATAAATATATAACATCAACAAAAACTTTACCAAAGAATGTAAAGTTTACAACTCTTTGCAGTACTAGCCACTACTACTCGCTTTGTTATTAAAACGCTGTAAATTCTTGGTCAATATTAATGACACTTTCCACAATCAAGTCAAATCCTAAAATGGAACTCATATTTAATTTGAGAGCCAGCAAGTGGTAAGAAAAATTGTCCCGAGAAAAAAAAAATGCTATGGCCCCTTATTAAAGGACGAAGATTGTTCAGTTTCACAATGACAAGAATCAAAAATAAGTCTTTAAAAAATCATATCTCCCTTTGGTATACATTCCAATTGTTTCGAACGATTTGAAGGGACGATGTTACGTACACAGATTTATGAATTTTCGAAATGGATAGAGAGCCATTTCTTTATCTACAAAATCTGGGTTTTTTTTCTGCATATATATAATTCAACAGCTAGTGAATTATTTCTTCTTAAAGCTTTAAATCTTCATCTACGGTACGCATTACACAAGTGCGCATTATCAACATAATAGTACGGTATTCAAGATATAAAATTTTCATGTCTAAAACAAATTCTACAAGGGATAACTGGATATGGTTTTATGGACAACAATAACTTGAACAGTTACGAGTTATTTTAAGTAATTATAGCCATATTATATCGTCCAGTTTTTTATTCTCCAACTACTAAATGTCACAACGAAATTTTATCAAGGAATGAAACTAATTCTACTCTATTTATTGCTTCCTAAACAATTTTGAGGGCTTCTGTTTAAATTGGTGTGCATGGTGAAAATTGAAAGAAATGAAAAACTTTTGTAATAATTTATTTAACATTTAAATACATTATATTTCATAACATTATGACTAATTCCTTGAATTAATCATTATCAATGTCACTTTGATCTTCATCAGTTGAAAAGTCAAAATCATTAAAATTTTCAAATTCATTGAGTCCATCACCATCATCTACATTATTTGCAGTTTCATTCCCCAAGTCATTGCTTTTACATATTTCTTGGTGACACATTGGACAAGTTTCTTTTATATACAACCACTTGCGTAAACAAACACTATGAAAAAAATGTTTACAATGAGTAATTCTGGCAGATTTCATCTCTTGGAAACATATAGAACAAACATCATTATAGTTTTCCAACTGTTCACTTGTAGCTAGTAACAATGATTCCACTTTTTTTACAGCTTTCCAGCGTAATAAAAAACTTTTCCATCCACTCTGAAGTCTTTGCCATACATTAAAATAACAATGTATTAACAATATGGAGGTATTAACCAAACTCCATTCACCAAATATAGACTCTTTAAAACCATAACATACTACAAATACAGCTACTAGGAACTCTACAACTCGAGTACAAGCTCTAGCCCAATATATTACATCATCTAAACTTTCCCATGGTTCTGTTCGTAATGAATCATATATAAATAAAGCATAAACCACCAGAGAACCAATAACTTGTACAGACGTCAATAAACAACTAGAAATGATAACCATTAACCAGAAATCTAAATCAAAATATTGACAAATGAAATAACTCATAAACAATGGAAAGATCCATAAAAATGTACATAAGCCAATAGCGCGAGCATGTTTAGTCCAGCGCTTATTATGCGATGCACTTAATGTTAATAATATAGGATCCACTATTTCATACATTGATTGTATCAATGATGATACAACAATAAACAATAATATACTCATTAAAAACGCTCTTTGTAATATTGATAAATCTAACAAGTCTGTCTGCACTGCTATTAATAACATGGTAAACCCTTCAGTCCATCCACGAGATCCATCAAAATCTAATGGTGTCATCTCAAAACCTTGTAAGTAAAATTTAGTTAATGTTAAAACTCCGAATGATGTGTAGGATATCATTACACAGAATGCAAATAAACTAACTGGAGTAGTACAGCACTCTCCTAAACTAGCTAAAATAACAACTAGCCACCCTTCATCATAGAATAATCTATTACTTTCATCATCACTCATTATAAATAAATAAAAATGACAAGAAAACATCAATACCCAAAATATTAACATCTGAACCGATAAAAATACTGACTTCCAGAAGGTTATTAATACTGGTAATGGACCAAATGTCTTAAATGCAAAATATGCCTCATTTATACTTTCTTGACAAATATCAATTATATTACTTAGATTATTAAATAAATAAAACACAATCATTAATAATGTAAAAACTGAAGCAAAGTTATGAACAACTAATAATAAATCTGAAGAAAATCCAGTAAGTCTGGCAAAAACTGGCATAGTAAAAACTAGCAAGAGATATTTCAACCAGTTTGTCATTTCAACCAAATAAGCTATGATAGCAGCAATAAAACATTGTGATATTAAATGTAGTAAAACTCTTTCTAACAGATCACTATGTGTTAATAACTGAGTTATATTATAAGACATATTTTCATTTGTTTCTTTTTCCACAAACATAGCTGATAGAAAATAAGATGCTGACAGAAGAATACAGCTGACTGCATACATATAAAACGTTACTAGCTTCTCCAGTGGTAGGCTTCCTATAGCTACAGCTAACAAGAATACTGAAAATAGAAATAAAATTAAATCAATAACTATCTGAATTATGATTATGTCAGATCATAAATTATTATTTGGTACTACAGGTATAAATCAAACTTTTGAATGGCCACTGGTGTTAAAACTGGTTACTATTTTTCAAATCATTCAATTTAGTTGATAAGATTATCCAAAAGCCCTTTTTCATTTAACCGAATCGAGTATCCCTTGTTCAACCTTCTTTTTGTCTGGTCTTTTATAAATAATCCTTGATTCCTTTAAAACCAACAGCAGCTAGGCAGAATATTGTCCCCCTTCAACAAAACCATATTAAATGGTGTTTTATAACCTACTATTCTGCACATAATCAAGCTAATAAAATCTGTTACCCATGCAAAAAAACAAAAAGGCTGCTATTCAACAAGGAAAGCATTACCTAAATAATACAAAACAGTTACTGTAATTTTAGTATCACTTGAAACTTGTATCATTTGGTCTGGTTCTGTTTTATACCACATCTCTAGTATAAACAAAGCTGGTAATCTTAAAATAACTCCCACCCCCTTCTTCAATGACTTCTCAGAAATTACTGCAGAAAACATTTCTTGTCTTATGGATGTAAAAGTACTATTGATCTGAAACACAATAATGTAAGAGATAAATGAGACTAACAGGTTAATTATTCAAGACCTATTATAGATTTTATTAGAGGTTATATCTGTAAATTTAAATATTTTGAAACAGATCCAGAACAAATTTTAACTGTTACTGAATCGAATCTAAAGAATTTTTGTAAAACATACACATCTAAAAGTACTGTGGTGTAACCTATATTCGTGCACATAAGGATTCAACACCAAATTTGGTAGAATTTAGAAAACAAAGTTGTTTTGTCTTAGATGTTTCTTCAGGTATTCTATAAAATAATCAAAATTGGTTTAATTCATTTTTCTTTATGAATCCCTCACCTTGACCTATAATGCTGCAAATACGTCACCTATTTTTGTGTACAATGTTTATCTATAAATAAGGCGAGAAAAACATGTTGTATGGATACCTAGTGGCATGTTTACTAATTCTTTAGTATTAGTATTTCTTAGCAAATGTAAGGTTACGCAAGGTCGAACATGTAAATCATCTGTCATTTCCAGAGATACATGAAATTAGGTTTGCTCTAAATTACGTTACTTGACTGTATACCTTGCCAAATCAACACCAGTAAAAAAAGAATCACCTACAAACTGTTCTACTCAATGCTTTTTAACAGTTCTGTGTTGTGGTACCAAAGGTGAGAAAATCAATTGTCACTTGATGATAATGGATAACATAATAATGCCATAGTCTGTAGTGCTCGTAGTAGTAATGGTATTCATTTACACTCCATCTACTGCCACTACTAGTACTAGTAATGAACAGCTGGATGGCTTAATAATTATTTCATGACTTGGCAACTCCTTACAGAATGGTCGGAGGCAGATCTAGATCCTTGACTTTATGTCATCACTGTTTATTTGAAGTTTCGCATTGGCATTACAAAGTTACTCTGCAATTATGTCAAAAATATTGAAGATTTTTTTTTTCTATTAGCCTAAAAAATGAAAACCGGAAGTCTGAAAACAACCCCAAATTTCTTCCTTCAAAATTAAAGAGTACAAATGGGAGCTTACTCCTGTACACAACTGACAACAAATAACTAAATTTAAAGGGACCAGAGCCGTATATAGAGAGAGTCTGGCCAACTACGTCACAAGGCGCCATCTTGTTACCCTCTCTTAGCTACAAGATGACCGACGTTATCCCTCGTAAACGCTCTAGAATTTACAGTTTTTAACCGATTTTGATAAAATTTGGTATGTCTATACAAAAACACAAAAAGAAGATAAATCTTGAATTTGAGCACTTTCCAATTATTAACCACCGAAATATTAAACCTGTAATCTTCCATATTAAAATAGCTAGGGCCTAGCTGTATATTCTACAGCTATATGGAAAAATAGGCTAATCACTAGTTATAGTTTATGCAACATATTGATAAGTAATATAATGTATAATATAATTCATATTGTTTTGATCAATAGGCCCGTGTGCCTGACGACTGTCAAAACGGTGCATAAACTATAACCAATGATTTTTGTTATAGTGAAGTTAGTATAAAGGACTGAACTCCATCTTTGCGAAGAAATTTAGTCATCATGAAAATTGCTCAAAGCAAGATGTGCACTATAAATCGTTATCAACAGAAACAGGCCCGTAACCAGACCAATGTGTCAAGTGGGGCGAATGCATTTGCACGGAGGCTGAAATAGCTGATAGAGACTGATTTCAGCTTCAATTGAGAACTTGTTTGAATTTTGCAGGGGGGGGGGGGGGCGAAAATAATTCAAGGGAGGCGCCGCCCCACCCCACCCCTGTCTCTTTTACTTATGGGCCTGAACAGAAAAAGGCTCATTATTCAGTTTCAATCAGCACAATTTATTTTATGTCATGAAGGCATGAAAGTTATATCCCCCCCCTCAATAATCATCATTTCAGCTTTGAAACCATTTTGCTTCAGCTGTCGGCTGTTGTCCTGGCGATCTGTTTCCCTTTGACTGTCGCCAAAGTGATTCTGGAAGAGAAACCAAAATTTACCCAAGTGAAAAGACTTAGGGTTCACATTATAGTCTAGACCCACAGTCTACATTGCCCTTCCATATTTTTCTGCGAATGTCAATAATGAAATAACATAAACAATGGGGGCGTTTCATTTGATCCCTAAAGGGGGTGGGGTAATACTGATAGGCATTTAGGAAATCAATGATATTGATAGGGAAAAGGGTGGTGGTGGGGGGGTTTTGGGTTGAAAATCAG